GGGTTTGTTTATATCTTCAGCAGTCTATGAGCAAAGAGCTGGGTACACCCTGGATAGGTCACAGTTTTATTGCAGGGGAACACAATGACACACAAGTAACATCTAAGGACAATTTAGAGACAAGGCTGTGCCACCCTGCTGCCTCTTTTTTTACACCGTGTAATGAATATATAATAGATATAGATTTCCTCTTCTGAATAAATTACGTTGATACTTATATATTGAGATAAGTGAAAAATGTATATTTTGGAACAAACTTTGGCAACTTTAAAATTTACATCTACCTGTATTGGCAACTACATTTCCTCTGGACAAACGTTTTATGGCCAGAGGAAGCAATACTGTCACATTTTAGAGCATGATGGAGGCAGCATCATGATGAGGGTCATTCCCACTGGAAGAAACAATAAAAGAAATAAGACTGACAGATAAACCAGCAAGAGACCAATTACCAAAAAAAGGGGGGTTAAAAACAGATTTTGTGAGGGAAAAAAAATAATAAACTAAGTTTTGGTGATAACTATAGCTATAGACTGAGCTGTAAAGATGTGTCTGTGCCAGGGAGCACCCATCATAAATGAGATATCTCTGATAACAATAGTCAAATCCAACCAGAACTTCAGTCTATTTGAGTCACTCCTTAGTTACATCATCCTGATATCATCCTCAAGCCATGCAGGTTTGCTCTTTGTTGATTTCTGTTCATTTGACCTTCAGATGTACTATGTTCATGTATTAATACATGTATTATCTAATAGCCACCTGATTGTTTTGGCCCTTAGTCAAACAAAAACTTTAATTAATTATGAAAGAACCTTTTGATAAACCACCCCGAAAAGTTTTTTCAACTGTAAAAGTAAAGAGAAAAATCTAAAAAAAAAACCACCTTGGGCTTGACATATATCTTCTTATCTATGGTAGAAGAGAGAAATAAAATTTAGAAATATTCCATTTAACTGTCTGTGTAATAAACCAGAAAGAGAAACATGTCATAAAACTGCCTAGGGGGAAAAAGAAAAACCTGGAACATTTTGTTGGTGCTGTAATGTAGGAGAACATGGGAATGAATGCTACTCCGCCATTCATGATTTATGTGAGTGTACCATCTGTTGCTGAGGAATATGTTATGCAAGTAGAGACGATACTGATTGGCTGCAGGGACATTTACAGTGTCTCTCCCTTCCACCAAAATGGAGGGCAGCAGCGAGCTGACAGCAGCTAATGTGAACGATGGATGAGGTGATACGGACAGGACCGCTGATCTCCTTACTCACATGATGACCTGAATACATCATAGCAAACACACACATAGAATCCAGCTGATAGCCATCCATTCACTTCTCTGACATGCTCAGACTATAACTAAAAGGGGGAGCTTTCTCATGATTGGAAGCCAGCATCTGCATGCACGGCTTTGCATAAACGATTAATATGTCAGTTTCAACCATTTATCTTTACACACAATTAAGATTCCTCTGCAACTCTTCAGTAACATCTGATAAAACAGAAAAAGGACACACATTGGATTCCTCAAATTAAATGTCCAAAACTCCCTTCCTTCCAGAGAGGGAAAATATAATAAAAGCTGCCACACCTTCCTGCGACACATTGACCTTTCACAAACACACACAAATCACCTTGCTGTGTATTTGCTCCTACAACTTGAAGGCTCTCTCATTAACCCAGAGGACAACCCCCAGTCTACCATTGTGCCCATTTCTCCTACAGCATTCTGGGTAAAGTAGTTTAACAATGTCAACTAGATAAGCCCAATGCAAACCAACCGATAAGGAGCCAAAAGACTGCAATAAATGTTTGTGTGTTTTAAAGGCGTGGATTGATTGAGGAGCCGATGAGGAGAAATGTAAGACCAAAAGGGAGGAGAATGGGGGCATGAATGTGTGTGTGTGTGTGTGTGTGTGTGTTAGAAGTGCTTTGCAGCTTTGCAATAATAAACTGCCTAAACAGCTAAAGAGAACTGCACAAAGAGGTTGTAGTTGGGTAAATGAGTAATAAGTAAATGTTTGTATGGTTTTAATTTATGGCCCTGGACTATCGGTCAGGGACCTTTTTCTGAGCTGACAAGTGGAAACGCAGCTGGTCGAGGATAAAAAGGTAAACTTTTAAGGCCAGTAAGATAAAGTATATGACCAATGTTCACGACAACACCACGCTTCCTTGCTTTGAGCAGTGCCATGAGACAGTCTGATTGCAAGTTTAGATCAAAGGTAAATGCCACACAGATGAGTGAAAAGACGTGACAAAGGCTGCAGTTACAGTATGATAAGAAGGTGTGAATATGTCACGGAAGTCTCGAATAACGCAGTAAAATCGTATACACACTTCGTCCTGGAAAGTCAACACCACGCAGGTGATAATCCCAGCTTGTCTGCCGAGTACTAGGTTTACACAGTGTGCTGTCTGATGAACACGTGTGAGCTATATTTGAACTTGCACACATGCAATAGTATTCATCAACCAAGGTAGTACCCAAAGTTAGGTACTACCTTTACTGTACTACATATAGACTTGTCCCTCCAGCATGTGATCAAGCTGCGCAGAATCCCGCTAACTGAATGTTCTCAAATAGAAAGAGTATGGCACAAAGATACACCTACCAACCTATCTGCACTGCATGCCTAAATTGAAAATTGTAAATCAAATGATGTCAGTTTAAACATATAAACAGTAAAGCAAAAACTTTAACAACTAGACCAGAGGTCACAGATTAGCGGACCGCGGTCCGGATCCGGACCCACCTGCTGGCTAATCCGGACCCAACCTGATTTAATTATTTATAAATTACCACATATTGTCAGATGACTGTTTCTAAACGTCACTTCTAAGCGCCTCTTCTCCTGTTACCCTGAAATCCCACATTCTCTGTCTCAACTCTACCCGCAGCGCTCCTGACTTATCCTGTGAGCTTGTGGAGAGCATCCGTGATATTATCATTAAATTTGTAGGAGCAAAACATACAGAAATGTAATTTAATATGACATATTTAAAACATCCCCATCAGTATCCAGCAGATGTGTGGTTTCTGATGGAGATGAGAAATTTGCTTCCTGGTCTGTTGAAGTACCAATAGTTTGCATCCAATCTTTTGAATAAAATGTGTTAGTTTTTTGAAGTATACTGTATAAGAATTATGCTCTCATTTGTAGTTACCGATCTGTTGTTACTGTATTTTCATTTGACAAACTGGATCTTCTCACCGTTCCTTTTCCTGTTTGGTGCGATTGCAATAGTGGATCTTGACCTGGTCAGACCGGAGTGGAGCCTGAACATTTAGAGGATGTTTGGCTCAACCTGCTGCTGTGAAGCAGGATTCTCCACCATGAACAGAATCAAAAATAAATCTGGATCCAGGCGCAAAATGAGCACCTTGATATGTGCTTGGGAATGGCTTAGTCTCCATTCAAACCCAGGTTTAAAGCCTTGCAGGGCAGCCTAAAGCCCACTGCCAACATTAAGACATAACAAAAAAAAGTCAGTTCAGGTGTTTTAAAAAATGTGTGAATCAGGAAATTCTTAATATACCAAACTGAAAGATTGTTGTTCTCTACTTCAAAAAACACTTTAGATTTTAAAATGGGAAAATAATTCATTTTGTTTTATATCTTTTTCATTTAAAAATTCAATGTATAACATTATTGCAATAACACATTTTATTTCAGTGTTAAATTCTGTTTAAAGTAACAGTTAAAAATGACTCCGGACCTTTACTGGTTGATGATTTTCTTTATATGGACCCCGCTGATTTTTAATTGGTTACCCCTGAACTAGACTGCGGCCATCCTCTACTTTGCAGTGTATCCCAATTTGTGGCCATTTTCCAATAACACATTGAACAGCTTCTCATTTCTCCCCTTGGAGCAGCTGCAGTCATTTGGCTGACCAAATAGCCACTCAGTAAACAGCATTCTCAGTCACATTGAGGTCCTGTTCACCCGTGTTAAGCCTGGCTACTGAGCATTTGCCGAAAAATTGGATAGTGAGCCTGAAGAACCTGTAATAGAAATCCAGTTAACACATTTTGAGTTGAGTGGAGGTGATCAAAGGAGAGCCTGTGGAATAAGTACAACAGGCAAGTGGTAGATCTGAAGGAAGTGTAGAGGTCCACGGTTATGAAAGGGTGGCAATAGGTAAACCATTGTTTAAAAACAAGCAATACAAAGTAACTGTTTCTTTTTCTGCCACATGTCTTGTTTACACAGGACGAAAAAGGAAAATGGAAAGTTGTTCTATATGCATTTAGTCCTACGTGGACCAACATTATGCTAGAAAACAGGGTGGGAGCAGCATTGTGCAGTTTTTTTATTTTTTATTATTCAGGTTAAAATCGGCAGACTGTTTGCTGAACAGGTCACAATTTGTTGTTCTGCATTGTAATGAGGGGTAGTAATGTAGGCTGTGCTTGCCACACTTTTCAAATTTTTACTTGTAAATTTGCTTTGATTTAATCACCACCACCTCCCAGTTCTGTAGGACAAAGTAATGATCTTAATAAAATAGCTGAAATTTTTTGTTTCAAACCAAACAAAAAACATTAAAACAGAAATCCAGTGATATGAATCATTTTACAATACTCCGTATACTGTAAGTGTGTGAAAGCCTTTGGCGTGGATTAAAAATCTTTGCAGACTGAAAGCGAATACCCCCGGCTTTGTTCTATTAATGGTTCTGTTCCGTTTTTGTGTTGCTCTGAATACCTGACCCACCTGAGGAGCCAAAGGAGACTCTACATCCTGCCCCATTCTCTCTGGAAAAAAACGCAAGATACAATTTCCCATTCTCTCCCGATTCTTCCCTTCCTATCAGACGGTGCTACAGTTTCAAATTGCTTCCCTTCTCTTGAGCAGCCCTTCCCCCTTGGCTTCCACCTCTCCATTCCTGTTACATCCTCTGCTGCATATTCTCACATCTGACCAGTACTTGGCATTGATGCACACAAGGTGGCATTCAGAGAGCACACTCTACAAGAGAGGTAAAAAAAGGAAATTTAGATACTTTATTTCTTAGGAATCCTCTTTTTAATGAAACACAAAAGGCAATAAAATTAAGATAAATATTTTTTTCTTTTTTACACAATGAAATATTTAAGTCAAATTTCCAAAGAATGACTGAAATTACATAATATATTTTGATAGGCTATTTTAACCATACATTACAGGTTCCAGTGGGTCTTAAAAAAACCTTGATGTTGCCCTGTCCAAATAATTGTGATCAGAGTTTAATCCAGTGTTTTTAAAGAAAAATACAGCTTTAAAAAAAAATTTAAGACCCATAAAAGCAACATTTCAAAGCTGAGTTTCACATTAGGTTCCTTTAAAGCTTTTGCTTGCAGTGTAACAGCAAAAGTGCTGTTAAGAGTCAGTCAGTCAGTCCTAAAAAGAGAAAAAGGCATTCATGTTCGTCCTCCTGTACATCCTATACAACAAACAGTCATCCAGGCTTGCATATACAAGAAAATGATTGGAAAAATAAATCAAAAGCATCAAAAACACAAAATGTTCAGACATTTTTGGCAAAGCATGAATAAAAGTGACAAGAAGCTTAAATTTGTGATTTGATCCTTTATCTTGTATTTTTGTCTCTAACATTGTCCCATTGATTGGCTTTGATTGTCCTTCACAGTCATGTGATGCCATACTGGTTGCCATAGAAACTTCAAGTGCATCAACTGGGCGGTGCACAAACGCTGTCTCTGCAAACATTGGATGAATCCAAACAGGACGAGAAGAATCCCTCTGAGATTACAGGAGTTTCAGTATCAGAACTGATTGAACGACTTTTAAAGTGTCGTTAGTCTAATCTGGTGTAGTGTAAAGTCACAAGTCCTTTGGTATGTTTCTTTTTTGCTGCCAGATAAACCTCTTCGTTTTCCATAGGAACAAATCCTAAAACGGAAAAGAACTAGATTTTTTTTTTTTTTTGAAGGACCCTGGCAGAAATGCAGGTTTCTTTTCCAGTATTTTCTGAACAGAAATGAAAGGAAATGAAAAATCTAACTCCAACATAATTAAAACAAACATAAGGAATACAATAATAAGTAAACATGTATACAAACTTATTCCAAATTCCTTTTCTACATATTTACCTTTCTGCCAAGAGCAAGGGTTTACAGCCTTATAAGCATTGTTGTGGTTGCAGTTTCACCCCAAACTCAAACATCTAGTCATTTTCAGTGCATTTATACAGAAGGAAACACGATCCCACCCTTTATCTCTGCAGCAAATCCCCACCCCCCAAACAAAAACCCCACCATCCCTAAAAAAACTAAAAAACAAAATAATCGCTGCAAAGGAACCGCATGAACATAGATTTATATATTTATATATATATATATATTTATATATATTTATATACTATATACAGTGTTTTATTCTACATGGAAGGCTGTACAAAGCACACACACATTCACCCAGGCACACGCGCAGCTCAAAAAACAATCTACTGCCTGCACATGAGTCTTTGCGCCATTTAGGCTGATACAACAGAGACGGAGATAGAGAGGTATTGATGTGTATGGCTTAAAAGGAGTAAAACTTGTTCAGTCACAATGACTAAAATAAAAATAAAGTTAAGCACTGATTTGATTATTAGAGTATCAGAGACATACCCACTTTGGATCGTGACATCGTGTTTGACATGCATAATGTCCGAAATACTGTACAAACATGTGTTGAAGCACTGAGATGTTAACGCCATAACGGTCACTCAGCAAACACTTTAAGTCCAAACTAAAGTGTTTATTGGTCCTATCAGGGTTTCTTTTATATAGCATTGTCCTACATTGTCCAAAGACCATTACCATCTAAACTAGTGTGGTTTACAGCATATCTCCTGTCATTGTCTTTCCTGTTTTCTGTCTCTGTTTCAGATGCTTTCCCTTTGTAATACTCCAAAGTGCTCATATCCTTAGGTTCTCTGCTTTGGTTGCTGCAATCATTTCATGTCAAATGAAACAGCCAAAGAGAAGAGTTAAAAATCTGGATCATTAAATCACTGATGAACCAGCTCTTTCTTCTAAACAACTAACTGTTCTTTATCGCCGTTACGTTGGTTCATTCTTCTGCCAAGAAAAGCAGTTCACACCATAAAACCAACGTGGGTTTGCCTCTGTCAGGATTAACTCCAGCGAAGGTTCAGTTGAAGTTCCTGTTACTGTTGGCGGTGCTAGGACAGGATGACCATGCCGTCTGCGCTGACCAGCTGGCCTGTAGTGGGCTCATAGGTTCCTGCCAGGTAGAACAGGTCATTGGACGGGCTTTCCGGCTTGCCTTTGCGCGTCAATTGGTCGTACTCTGCCTTGCTGACCACCTGGCAGCGATGAGAGATGGTCTGCACGTCGTTCTCATCCTCATGGCTCGACTGGTACAAAGCGTTCTGGTGGAACAACGAGAGACGAATAAAAACGTTAAAGAGGACATTGCAGCTTAAGATTAAGGTTATAACAATTTTACAATTTAATCTGCCTTAAAAAGAAAATTTCTTTTAGCATGGGTGCAAGCAGTGGGGCCTTTTGTGTCTAAGCCCTAAAACCGAGACTGTAACACAAAATGTTAATGTTTTATTTACCAGAAGGTTTTCATGAAACCAGCAATGTGGTGCTACACTAAAGAGCTTATATATGATATTTACTGTTACTCCTTTCAAAGGATCCTGGTACTTCCTGGCCTTACCTTGCCATCACTGTGTCGCTTTCCCAGGCGAGTTTCCTCTGGGTGGTAAAACCACTTGACCCTGACCACCATGCTGGAGCTCCAGGACTCCCAGAGGCTCTCCACTCTACCCACATAGGGCAACTGGGGTCGACCGGGTGACAGGAACACAGCGCAGTCACCGACATGCACCATCTCCTTGCCCCGCATGATGGCCTTGTAGAAAAGCTTACGAGCTTTACCCTTAAGACCTCTTCTCTGTTAGACAAAGAGAAAATAGCAATGGTGTATAGTAGGTTTTCTTTTTCTTTTTAAAACAACTCAATTTAGAATTTCTTTGTTAAAGACAAGATTCATTATTGCAGAAACATCTTTCTGTAATAACATATACTGCATTTACAACATAAAACATAAATTTTCAGCAGTTAAACGCCAGAATTCTTTATTGGGGGGATATCTAGTACATAAGAACCTATCTAGGTCTAGTCCAGTAGCCAGTAGTCCAGTTTTTACATTATCTGTCTGGCTAAAGTTAGTGGCCAGTTCCAGAGGAGCCGGGATCAAAGTGGACTTCTACCATGCAAGTTAGGTCTACAGAATGTCGTATCTACAAAGCTACGACATTCTGTAGACCTTATATGTTTAGGTCTATGCTAATACTGTTTTCAGAACCTCTTGATTGTCAGATTTGCTTTAGATAAATATGACCATTTACTTTAAAATGGAGGAAAGACGATCCTTCATATGTAACACAAACAGAGAACATGCTGCAAAAATTGGTGTAAACAAGTATTTATCCTGTCAATTTCTATTTATCGGACCAGAATTGCTTTACATGGCCTTTCCTAAGCATTAGCATCATAATTAAATATCATTCGAGGTACAAAACCTCCATAACTAAGTCATACCAAAAATTACTTGAGCATTGTTTTAAGACTCATGAATTACTGTTCCCATAAACTGCAGTGACATTTTATAGATTAGACTTGTTCTAAGGCAAAAAAAAATTTCAGGGGAGCAGGAAATGAATTCCCTATTTCTGAACTGGAAGAAGAAAAAACATTATGTTCTTATAGAACTGGGTTTGTTTTCTCTTGCAGCTTGTTTTAGATCAGTATTCTAGGAAGAACCCTTTTGGTTCCCTAATAGCTATTGTGTGATTGGTGGAAATGTGAACTGGCAATGGTGATTATGGTGACAGATGCTTCATAAGGTAAAAACTTCCAGGAATTGTAAAAGTTCTCCGGAAGAATAAATATTCTGGCCATAAAGATCTTTAGTCTTATTTTAACCATCAAGTATAAAAATGCATTTCTTCTTATACCTTAAGTCTCTGCCTTTTCTTGGACTTTCTACTAAATAAATATGTAAAGCGTGTTAGCTACTGTAGAACAGATTTTCTGAACTTATAATTTTACAGAACCTTACTTAAAAAGTGTTTAAGGTTAGAATACCTTGACAGAATGGGAGAAAAATATAAAAGATTTAGTTGTTAAAATTTTAGCTATATCAGTATTTATTTCAATCTTTATTTCACTGAATTTATTTCATACAGCAACAGTTTAAATGCACACTGCAAAAGTCTCTATAAAATTCATTTCATTTCAGTGAGCTTAGTGCTGGGGTTCCTGAAACTCAACATAATACATCTTAAATTACATAACTAAGAAAATAATTTATTAAGAAGTCCAGGAAATGTCCAGGAGATGAAAAGGGTTAATGTACATTATCTTTAAAACAATTCTTGGATCTGAAAAAAACAAAGAAAAAAAAGAAAAAAAAACACAAAATGTCATACCTGTGTGGGATTGCCAGACCATTTCCAGAGCTGGCGTCCAGGTAACAGGGAGGCCATTTTAGGAAGAGGTTCAGGTGAAGACATCCTCTGCTTCTTGGTTACTCCTAAATCCTTTGATGCAGGTTTCAGCTGCTGGCTAACAGCGCTGCCTTGGGTTTGATGGTCATTAGAAACACTTTCTTTCCTCTTCAGCTGCATTTTATTCATTCTGTTGTCGACCATCATGATTCCTTTGGAGATGTACTCCTTCCTGTCCTCCAATCTGTCAGCTCTCACTTTTGACCCTCTAACAGTTACACTGGCCTTGGTGATATAGCCATTAGCTGGTGCTGATGATGGGGTGGATGTTGTGGGATCCGGGCTCTGGAGATTCGTGTTCTGCCTGTTTTTCTGTTTGTCCTGCTGCAGAAGAGCCCGTCGCAGCAGCACAGAGGAGGACTCTTCATCAGATGAGTAAGAGGAGTCATTGTCAGAGGAACAAAGAGAGGAGGAGGAGGAAATGGAACCTGAAGAAGAAGAGGAGGAGGAAGACGAGGAGAAGCAGATGGATGGACGGGATAGAAAACGGCCACCACGGTGGGAGGAGATGGCGGCTCTTCTTCTTTGAGCTACTTGACTATCATCCTCATCGTCCTCATCCAGCTCAGAATAGGAGCTTGGGCAGTCACTAGGGTATTCCAAGCTGTAGTCCACACCTTTCGTTCCAAGACCAGCAGAGAGAATGTCTTTTCTCTGTGGTGGAACACTGTTTGAAAGAGTCTCTGATCGAGGTCTGGGACTTTCTCGATCCTCTCCCACCTTCTTTTGATGTTTGGCAAGAAGAGAAGGTTGGATGTATCGAAGTGGCGCCCCTGCAAAAGCCTGGCTTTTTACACCTCTCCCTCCAACCCCTCCGAGTCGAAGCAAAGCTTTACCGTTTTTTGTTTTTGGGGATGTCACTCCTTCATGGTCAAGCTTCACTAAGAAGTGTTTTCTGTCACGCTCACTCAGAGGCTTGTGGCTCCCAGCTGCTGTCGACATGGTAACAGATGAAGAACAAGGCGAGTCTCGAAGGCCCATGGAACCCATGGCGGTAACTGGTCTCCCAGCTCCAGAGCCTCCACCATTTCCAAAGGTTGAGTAGCCATTAGCAATGCTGCTGAATGAGTCAACCTCAAACGCAGTACCAAAAATGCTTTTAACTGGGGTTGTTGGTGCTAGAGAATGCAGGGCTGGCCTGTGAAACAAGCCCAACTCCCGCTCTCTAATCTTCTTCTGGGTCTTACGGGACGTCCCATTGAAGAGGAAGAAGTCGACTGGCGGTCTCTTTCTGGAAATAGACCAGTTCAACAGTGAGGCATTTCCCTTTATTGCAGAGTCTGTTGCTGAAGTTGACGTGTTGGCTCTCTTTGGCACTGTGTAGGTTTTCTTCGGCCTGCCAACTAAAAGTAAACAACAGAGATGGGGGTTGAAATCGATAAGGAATGACGGCTCCTGAGGGCAAACGTTGATTAATTATGAAACTAAAAGCTTTTGTGAAACTAAATCTCTATCTCCTTGATCTTCACCTAGTTTCGACAGATCCATTACTCAAACAGCAAGAAACCTGGTAAACCTGCCCTCCTCCCTCGGGTTTATTGTCACTTTGAGTTTGAGATGACTTACATCCATGTTGCCTAACTTTACAAAGCACTCTTATGAGATTCCATAAAACCATGATGTGTGTTTTTATGGGGGTAAACTACAGACCGCAAAAGAGTCATTTCAATTTAGAAGATCTGCAGTTAATATACCTACTGCATGCTCACCTTTGACCTGAAGACGTGTGATAGTTAACAAATGGTAAATGTAATTTTCTTTCAGGGATTGCACCTAAAATACCTTTAAACTATGTGGAAGAGATGGAACACCAATGTTTTGTTTTTGCCATAAATAACCGGTTGTTGACGAAGCAGTGATCAAAGCACCCAATATAAACCTATCAATCTACCTGGTCTTTTTTCCTGAGGCTTCACTCCTGCCTCCTCATTTCCTAGTTTCTCTGCAAGGGCATCTTTTTTCTCCACTGTAGAGCTTCGTCGCCCCCGATGGCCTGGAGAGATCAGGAGAGCAGGAGGAGGTTCCGCACCTTGGATGAAAAAAACATTTTTAGTTTTAAGGCCAACATTCTCAATTGTGATCATAATAAAAAGGGTTAGGGTTAGTAGAGAATTATTATTTGGTATGGGGGGGGGGGGGAACCTACTTGATTCTGTTATAACTGGTTGGTTTTTATATATATATATTGTTCTAACATTAAATCATGAAAAGTTTTTTTTTTTGTCCTATTAACTCAAACAGCGACCTGAGGTGATTGCTAAACTCGACCAGAACTTTAACTAGAAATGTGTCCTTTCATCAGATGAAAACTAAAACTTTCAGGAAGACAAACTCCAAATGCATGAGTGGTTAATTAGAGACTTCCAGGCCCTCCTGCCTTACCTGAGGGTCACATGATGAAACAGCATATTTTAAATGGAGATCTGGTGACCTCCTCCAGAAAACATAAACAAATTGAAATCATTGGGAGTTTTGACAATATCATGGCCAAATTAACTAAGTAATGATCACCAGATTGAAAACCTTCACTAAATTCTGAAGAAAGGTTTGAGATAAAAGAGAAGAGAGCTTTAGAAACTTTCTATCAAAGTTTTCAACCAAGTCCAGCACTCCAGAGCCACCTGTTTTCGGCATAATACCCTGTTTCAACAATCCCAAATTCCAAAGTGGAGGATACGTCTTATGAGAGAAAGAGGAATGGTCAAATATGTCTCCCTCTATGCTCACCCCTTATTAAAGAGAATCACTAGTATGCTTACTGCTGTGGGGTTTTTTTAGGTAGAAAAAAGCTCTGTCCGGGGACAACAGATGAAAAATAGCATGTACACTGTCCATGTCAAAAAAAGAAATAAATTTAAATTAAACTAGGTGCTCTCTGAAAAGAAAAAATGAATAAACAGGGACACTGAGTAATCAGTGGTGCACAAGATTTCATGTAAAAGTATTGTTTAAGTGGGATTTTATGCCTGGTTGAAAAATGCACTCAAATAAAGGTACATTTTTAGAAAATAAGAAGCATTTAAGCATGCTGCTGATTACTTGAAAACTTGGTGCCAATAAATATAGAAGATTCTACAGGTGCTGGTCATAAAATTAGAATATCATGAAAAAGTAGATTGATTTCAGTAATTCCATTTAAAAAGTGAAACTTGTATATTATATTCATACATTACATACAAACTCATATATTTCAGATGTTTATTTTGTTTAATTTTGATGATTACAAATGACAACAAATGAAAATCTCAAATTCATCATATCAGAAAATTAGAATATTGTGAAAAGGTTCAAAATTGATGGCCCCTGGTGCCACACTCTAATCAGCTAATTAACTCAAACCACCTGCAAAAGCCTTTAAATTGTCTTTCAGTCTAGTTCTATAGGCTACACAATCATGGGGAAGACTGCTGACTTGACAGTTGTCCAAAAGACGACCATCGACACCTTGCACAAGGAGGGCAAGACACAAAAGGTCATCGCTAAAGAGGCTGGCTGTTCACAGAGCTCAGTGTCCAAGCACATTAATAGAGAGGCGAAGGGAAGGAAAAGATGTGGTCGAAAAAAGTGTACAAGCAAGAGAGATAACCGCACCCTGGAGAGGATTGTGAAACAAAACCCATTCAAAAATGTGGGGGAGATTCACAAAGAGTGGACTGCAGCTGGAGTGAGTGCTTCAAGAACCACCACACACAGACGTATGAAAGACATGGGTTTCTGCTGTCGCATTCCTTGTGTCAAGCCACTCTTGAACCACAGACAGCGTCAGAAGCGTCTTGCCTGGGCTAAAGAGAAACAGGACTGGACTGCTGGTGAGTGGTCCAAAGTCATGTTCTCTGATGAAAGTAAATTTTGCATTTCCTTTGGAAATCAAAGTCCCAGAGTCTGGAGGAAAAGAAGAGAGGCACTTCATCCACGTTGCTTGAAGTCCAGTGTAAAGTTTCCACAGTCAGTGATGGTTTGGGGTGCCATGTCATCTGCTGGTGTTGGTCCATTGTGTTTTCTGAGGTCCAGGGTCAACGCAGCCACATACCAGGAAGTTTTAGAGCACTTCATGCTTCCTGCAGCTGACCAACTTTTTGGAGATGCAGATTTCATTTTCCAACAGGACTTGGCACCTGCACACAGTGCCAAAGCTACCAGTACCTGGTTGAAGGACCATGGTATCCCTGTTCTTAATTGGCCAGCAAACTCTCCTGACCTTAACCCCATAGAAAATCTATGGGGTATTGTGAAGAAGAAGATGCAATACACCAGACCCAACAATTCAGAAGAGCTAAAAGCCACTATTAGAGCAACCTGGGCTATCATAACACCTGAGCAGTGCCACAGACTGATCGACTCCATGCCACACCGCATTGCTGCAGTAATACAGGCCAAAGGAGGCCCAACTAAATACTGAGTGCTGTACATGCTCATACTTTTCATGTTCATACTTTTCAGTTGGCCAACATTTCTATAAATCCTTTGTTTTTATTGGTCTTCAGTAATATTCTAATTTTCTGATATGATGAATTTGAGATTTTCATTTGTTGTCATTTGTAATCATCAAAATTAAACAAAATAAACATCTGAAATATATGAGTTTGTATGTAATGTATGAATATAATATACAAGTTTCACTTTTTAAATGGAATTACTGAAATCAAACTACTTTTTCATGATATTCTAATTTTATGACCAGCACCTGTATATTGATGGTCCAGCCATACTTACAGCGGATTTGATATCCGGGGGGAAGAAGTCTGATGTTTGCAAGGGAGATCCTTCCTCTGTCTCCATCGTCAAACTCCACCATCACACTCCCCTCCTTCTCCTCCTCACCCGGTCCTCCTGAAATGTGACACAGAGGAATGAGTTTTCAGGACAGATTGAGCGTGTGGAAGGAGAGTGTGGTTGTTTGCAGATGCAACTCACCACGGTGGACATAACCAGGGTAAAGGCAGCGAGAGCGCTCGCTCCAGTAAGCACAAACCCGCGTTCCCTCGGTTAGGATAACCTCAGTCTGGGGTCGCACATCTAACACCTGGAAGCAAATAGTCACAAAACTTTCACAAAAAAAATCCATCTTCTAGAAAATCAGATGTGGCTTAACTTACAGCTTCCTGGAGTAGCTGCTCCAGTGAGTAGATTCTTGGGCGATTTCCTCGTTCCCCTTCAATGACAACACTGAATCTGAGAAAATTAAAGGGAAATTATGCAGAATTATATAACAAACTGTCAACTGAATCTGTATTTATCTTTAAAAGGTGAATCTGTGGGGTGGCTTGTGAGTTTCATGATTTGCAGGCAGGTACTTTTTTTTTTTGTAAACAGATGTGTCAGCAGATGTTGCTCTGATTCTTGGCTTTGAAGTCTTTTAAACCATCCTGTTCATCCTGTTCTGATCGCCCTTTATGCAGCCAGATGACTACGTTTTAGACTAAGCCACCCAAATGAGCTCAATTCATTATTTTTCCAAACATCAATGTTTCAAAGAAGAAATCAATGAAAATCCGAGAAGTATTTCAGGTGTTTCTATGGCCAAAGAGAGCAGAATAGGCTCCTACATGTCAGGCAGGTCCAGGGTTTGAACAGAGGCGGCATATAGAAGCTCATCCTCCTTAGAGATTAGGATCTTCAGGCCATCTACCAGCATCTCTTTACTCAGCACGCAGTTTGGCAGAGCTGCACACAGGAGATGTGAAAGTAGAAAGATTGATGGTGAAGATAAAAGGAAACAAAGACATCATTTCTGACCGTGCTGATTAATTGAACATGACATCAGGGGCAGGGACAAGCGTGGCAGATACGGGGCTGGGTGTTTATGCTCACTTGGTATTCTGGAGGGCATGTTGGGGGGGAGGTGGGACAATGGCTGCTCCTCCATCCTCTCCTCCTCGTCCTCCTCTTCTTCCTCAGAGAAGCTGCTCTCCTCATCCAAACGGAAACCTTCATCCGCCGTGAAGCTCTGCAGGAGCCTGCTGACACCATGACCCTTTCCCTGAGCCCAAAAAAAGGATGTTAATCAACTGCGTGTTTCAGTTAGATTTCACTAATGCAGCAAACTAACAATTAGTGAGTTGAACTACTACAAGCAGTCATATGATGCTTAAGCCCAGAGCTTTTTTTCCACCATTCTGCGCAGCCAAATGAAGGTTTGAGGTCAGAGCCAGTAATAAGCGCTCCCCCTGAACAGACAGGGTTTCAGCTTATTGCTACATGACGCTTCACTTCAGGTGGACACCCACACACACAATGAACAGCAGATCCTACCAATCTCCACTCTGGTTTTAACTGGTCTATCTAAGGCTGACAAATGAAATATGATGAAAAGCCAACTCATCAAACAGGTTTCTGCTTGTATTTAGACAATCCGAAGACCATAATAATCTGTGCATCTATGTGTGTGTGTGTGAGTGTGTGTGTGTGTGTGTGTGTGTGTGTGTGTGTGTGTGTGTGTGTGTGTGTGTGTGTGTGTGTGTGTGTGTGTGTGGGTGTGTGTGTGTGTGTGTGAGAGTGGGTGTGAGAGTGGGTGTGGGTGTGAGTGTGAGTGGATGTGTTTTTCTTGGAGTTTTCCACACCATGAGATTGTATATTTTAGTCACAGAAGTTTCATCACCAGAGGGCATGCAGGATTATTTACCGTTACCACTGAGCGTGTGTTTCCACACATACATGGATGTGTACCTGTTTGGAGCCCATGATTATATTTTCATATTCCTCCGTTTGGTTTTGAGTTTTGTGTTTTCTGACAATTCCAGCTGATGACTTAAAAGAATGAAAACCTCCAGACCAGATAAGGTTAAGAGGAATGTTGGCACTTCGCCCCTGACTGATTTTATTTGTATTTATTTTTTACATATAAATGTGCTAGAATGAATGGAAACCCACCAGAACATAGTGACCAAATGACTGAGCAGCCCTGATCTTTACCACCATGTATTGGTATTTAAAACACTCAGCAACAGATTAAACCTATAAGAACAAAGAGATGTAAAGAAAAAAAGTGCCTTATGATCTCCAAAAGACCTGATTTATGCCTCTATAGGGCGTGAAAGAACAAGAGTTTAACAGGACAATGGGAACTGGAGTATAAATGTTTACGGTGTTATCACCTTGTCTTGGTTTTGAAATATTAAAACCCTGTTTATAGAGACTACTCTTTAACTGAGACAGCATGACATCTCCATTTTTAATGTAAATAATTAATGAGTGCTACAGTCAGGAAGACTAGGAACAAGGATATCAGTGCTGTGTATATATTATGCTGCTGTCCTAAAAGTCTTGTATAGAGAAGAGAAATAAGAAATGGTAATAATAACGATTTACCAATTAGATGCCTAGATTATTTTAACAAGATATCAGAGGAAGTTGTCTTTGTTTATCCAAATGCTTGTCAACATCTATCCAGGTGTGGTTCATCTCAGAAGCTATAGGTGAGAGAAATCCATGCTTTTCTACCTCCGAACATCGATTTAGATGAACAGAGGGCCATAGGGAGAAATGTTTTATGTATCACTTTCCTTCTGTTTCCCCGAGCTGGCCACTCAGTGTCTGAGCAGGGTGGCCCTGACACTGCTGACTTCACCACATTGAAAATAGTGTGTCTCTTTTGAAATAAGATAAAATCTCAGATACTTTCTGAGTTGTCTGTATTGCTCCTGCATAACCAAGCACTTATTTTTTAAAATCTTTTATTACTTTTTTTTCAATTGAAAGTGAATAATAATAGTAATGGGAACAAACTAATGGGCTTATATTAGAGGTCTACTAATGTAAATTGCATGCTTAAAGTATTAAAAGAGTACTAATTGTAAATCAGACTTTTTTATGTAAAAATATGTGTTTTTTTGGACGTGTTTTAGTGGCGCACTGGTTAGCACACACAACCCATGTATCGAGGCCTTAGGTCTGGCGACCTGAGTTAGAATCCGGCCTGTTGTCCTTTCCTGCATGTCTCTTCACCTCCCTCATATATATATATATATTTATATATATATATATATATGCGTGTGTGTGTTTGGCTTCAATTAAAAACCAATAGGAAAATCTGTAGGGTGAAATTGGTCTTTTTATTTTCTTTTTCTGGGCTATTTGTTTAAACAAGAAAAGCTCATAAGAGCATGCTCTCCACAGAGCACAGTTTTAGTGCTCCTTAATTTTCATCACTCACTGACGGGTGCTAACATTAGAAAATCTCTAAGCCACCAAAAAGGGGCCATTCCAACAATCAGGGACTCAGCTGCAGGCAGTTGGTCACTGCTGCTGCTTGCGTAACTTTCCATGCTTTGTGTAAGAGATCAAGAAACTGTTGTAAACAAACCATGGTGAACCGCCAGCATTGATAATGCTATATTCACATGTACATTTTGACACAAAAGTCAAATTCTTGTGTGTAACCTCGCAAGAAGAAAGTATGGTTCATTTAAATGTCTTTAATTCCTGAAACTGATTTAACATGTATTGAGAGACGGCAAATGTATAAGTGAAACAGCACGTTATTACACCTTTGAACTTTTTCACCATTTTTCACTCTAGAGGTACACTGATTTTTAACTGAGTCATTAATAACTGTAAAATGTTGTGCAAGAAAACTGTTTTCTTAATAAATTAAACACAGACGAAGAAAAATATATATGTAACCCCCTTTACCTTAACTCAGCAAAATAAAATCCAGCAGAAACAACTGCTTTAAGTAGTTGCTTAAAACAGGAGATAGGATATGAGATAAAACATTACCCTATCCATTCAATGCCCGACAAAGCCCTGTTTGGGTTTAGGGCATGGCGAAACTGCAAACCAACCACTCGTAGACACTTAAGTAGGGATGGGAATCGAAAACCGGTTCCTGTTTAGAACCAGTTCAATGTGTTCCAATTCCATGACACCGTTTGGCAGCTCGCTTAGCGATACTCTTAGCAATTCCAGGCAGCACCAGAGCCTAGCGCTGGGCAGCACTGCTTCCGTCACGTTTTTTAGGCAAGTTACGCACACGGCATTCAGTAAGCAATTTTAAGGAAGAGAAAGATGGCAACAAGGTGCTTTGCAATCATTGCAATGATGCAATTACTTCCGCGGGAGGAAATACATCCAACATGCAGAAACACCTGCACACACAACATATACATTTTAACGAATGCCGTGTTTTTGATGCTTCCAGAAAGAAGCTAAAGTTACGACCAGCATGGAAGGAAACTCTGGCGGTAAGTAGCTAGTTTTATATCACTGGCTGTGCTTAATATGGTTCCTAGTAAATCATATGCCAATACTGGAAATAAACCAGTTTCCTACCTCTCTTTGGAGTTATTAAACATGCTATGAAGTTTCTCCACAGTTTAGGGAGCGAGAGAAAGTTGATGCTTGTTTATTTAAATCAGGTGGATATGAGTTTATTTCCCAAAATTCTACAGTAATGCTTTTTCATTAAACTGATGCCTTCTCCATTATATATAGATGACTGTGAACGAGACGGGTAGCCTGGCTGGATCAGAGGCTCGATGCTCCCGTTCACTGCCTTCTGTTTTCACCGAGGCAGGCAGAAATAGAATGTCCCAGGAGAAGGTAGACGGATGTCACCGTGCACTAAAGAGTTCATCGTTTCACAGAATCAATAAGAGAACCAATAAGGAATCGATGCGTTCACAGAACCGATAAGGGAATCGGAATTGTGAAAATCTTATCAATTTCCAACCCTACCCTTAAGCATGAGAGCTTTAATATAAGAGAGATTCTGGAGGAGCTACAGAGAACATTAGCTTGGGTGGGGAAAAGTATAACAGATTTCAGTCATTGACTGAACTTCCAGTTGCTCTGTAATCATTAATTTCACAGTCTCACCTTTCCCCTTAAGCCCTGTCCTGCAGAAGTCTTCCTCTCATTGTCTTTCCTGTGTCTCTTTGCCTCCTTCAGAGCCATGTGGTTGATGTGGCTGTCCCCAAAGTTGCCGCCCTGTGACTGCACATCCCAGCTTGGGGGGGAGGCTTTATTAGTGTGATCTGGATGTCCCCTGTCCAGGTTGCTGAAATTGGGCCGTCTGGGTGCGCTCTTCTGAACAGGACAGTAAAAACTTCCCATGCCTGAGGATGAGTAGTGACATGATAAAAGCTAAGGATTAAATCCAACTTCTTTCAAGTTGGAATATATTTGAGTGGAAATTTTTAGACAAGAACCAAGAACCAAAAGATTAGAGAGGTTACATTGCAGCATGTTATTTCTCACCGGGAGTTCCAGGTCTTTTATTCCTGTCTTTCATATTTGCTTGGAGTTTAGGAGAAATGGCTGAAAAGGGAAAAGTCCCAGCAGAGTTTGCAGAAGCTCCTTTAGAGGATGAGCTAATCTTGATGTCACCGGTTTCGCCTTCGCTGTTGTCACTGTCAGCTTCCTCGTCTGTGAAATTTCAGCATATCAATGATCAGTCAGTGAAGTTCTAGTGACTTTCATATAAAGATTGGTTACAGCCAGCATTGTATGGGTAAATCCATGACTGGTATCCACACACAATAAACAGTCACACACACAAACAATTTAGAGTGTTTAACATGGCTGTCTAGGGAGATTTGAGTCCTGGACCTGTTGCACCGTTATGCAGCCTAAATCTGAGGTAGATCATCTCATTGCCTAACTGCTGGATTAAACTTTGAAACTTAAAGATGTTCACAGGTCATCCATATTGAGCCTCAATTGTTTATGTGGATGCCATCCCGTCTAGATCTAACTCAGCATTGTCTTAAGTTATAGGTCCAAACCAATCCTGCTTCACACTTAAATCTTCCCAAAAATTTAAAAAACAAACCATTCGACTTTATTTTCCAAGTTTAAAGACATTTCGCTTCCAATCCAGCTTTTTCAATTCAAATGTCAGGAATTAAAAGCCTCCTGGATGGGAAGTGAAACGTCTTCAAACTTTAAAACAAAGTCCAGTGTTTTTTTTTTACGTTTTTGGAATGACCATGACCTCGATGACTGATAATCTTCACCAGCACTTAACCCTTAAATAAATTCAACACATAAAAGTTTGAGAATCATAATTTTTTTCTAAACATCCAAAAAAAGCGGTTATAAATGGCAATAATCTTAGATATTCTTAAAAAAAAATGTATTTTATTAAAAATGTATATATGCAGATAAGGGAATTATCTGCAATGTCAGATTTCTAATCAAATTAAACAGGAAGTGCTTTCCAAATCAATTTCAGATTTTTTACACACTAATACATTTGTAAAAGATAGTAACAAGAAAAGAAGATAAAGAAAGAGTGTTTTTTTTCTAGGTAAAGCATTACATCCTTTACAATGAATTTAAAATGCGTCTTCCTTTTAACTGTTTTAGACTTGTGGGTCTTAAAATTGTAAGAAACAAAAACAAAGTGGATATTAATGTTTTAAATAGGGGACACAGCCATTTTTTGGTGTGAAGCGTGTCTTCTCTCTGTAATACATTTGCATTGGTTATGTATTGTACTGTGTTTTCGAAGAAAATTGGACCAACGTCATCAAGCATAAAGGCCTACAGCTCAGTCAGGCTCAAGCGTCATCCGTGGAGACCTGCACCATAAGCCAAAGGATAAATAAAACTCTACTGTATCATATAAACTGAAAAGACTTGGTTTAGAGGCTAACAAAGAGTTTACAAGATGGAAATTCTTGATCAGTGGTTCCCAATCCTGGTCCTAGATACAGCATAGCCCCATTTACACTACCCTCCGAAAACTGATCTGTGCCGAGCTTGTATCAGTTAACCGTGCCGAGCTTGGTTCCTTACGACCATTTCGCACCATGCTAGCATCGCCTTCTAGTGACGATCTACGGTCCTACTGCTCTTTGGAAGTAAACAAGCAAACCAACATGGCGGAGCCCATAATATTCCGGAAGTTTGCAGATAGTCAGGCGAAGAAGGCAGCCTTGGTTGAATTTACTTGACCGAGTCGGCTTTTGGGAAGAGGATATGACAAATGATAGTCTAATCAGGGCTTATAGAAGCAGGAAACAATAACAGGAGTTGAGGTTCATCACACTGCTAAGAAGAGTAATCACTGGAAATCATATGTTTATAAATGTCTGAAATGTTATGATTACGGAGGCTGACTGTAAGGAGATGACGCAGTCTGCTCATGCGCTCTTTGTTATCTAAGAACAATGCATGAACTGTCTGGCATGGTCCGTTTCAGCTGTACCTGCCATTCGCACTCAACAGTCATCTAGGTTACGGTGCTTGGACCGATCTCGGCACGATTTCAAAAGGGTGGTGTAGATGGGGCTTATGTCTCGATTCCATAAGACCTCATTTAAATGAGGGCTCTAAAGTGCTGCAGAATCCTGTCAGTCATCCATTGTTTTCTGGTAACAAAGAAACACCTAAAGCATGCAGGACAGGGGTACCTGAAGAACAGGGCTGGGAACCTTCAGAGTCCATTTGGTTAAAAAAAGAAAAGAAAAATAGTCTTTGCTTTTAATGATGCTATTTCACCAGTAAAATAACTGGATGCTGCATGATAACTTGAATCCTTTAAATTATTGTGTTCTGAAATTATCTGAGAGCTGTTGATACAAGGTATACTTGAACAAAAGAAAACATTAACTGCAGGGAACATGAACAGATTGACTTAAAGTTTACTACAAATTACATGATATAACGACTGTTCTTGAGATTTGTTGCCTTATAGTCTTTATTCTTGCACCTCAGAGTGACTATAGTACAAGTATAAGACTAGAGTCACAGCTTCTGGTGTGCACACACAAACAGATTGTTATTACCGGCTGAGTGTTGCTGGCTGAGGGGGGGAGGGGGTTGTGTCGAATGTCAACACTTCTAAAACACACTTGTCACTTACAAGGCATTCTAGTCATCACCTTACCCTACACTCACACATATCCCACCCATCCCTGCTGCCAAAGCCACAGGTGGATCAAATTCTCAGGTTTTACCAATTTTTTTGTTTCTTTTCATCAGTCTTTTCTACAGAAGAAGGTCAACCTAAGTAAAGGAGTTGATCTTGCCCACTGAAAGCCTCCGGAAAATGCATTTTAATAAGGCTTGGGTTAAGACCAAGGCAGAGGAGGATGGGACTGTGAGATTCTGGACGGTCTCATGTTACTGTGCGAGGATGAGGGCCTGGGGGTTGCAGTGCTGCATGCCTTTGGCAAGTCGTTAACGGCTTTAACAGTGTGACAGACAGGCGGGCCGTAAGAGGAACCCCCTGATGATGACAGACATCTCATTCTCAGATGTCTCAACAGAACACCAATGAGTCGCACAGCAACTGAATGGTCAATGTTTATTAACCAATAAGCCTGTTTAGCACTCAAATGATTACCAGTGAACACTGTAGGCTTACAATGGGATAACAGCTCCGTAAATAGGGTTTCTATTTGTCTGTTTTATCTGTAACTTTATCTGAACCATAGTTGCATAATTCTCACCTGGACACACAAACCAAGTAACAACTCACCATGCTCTGAGCTCTCGCTGCAGCTCTTATCTCCTCTTGCATCATGAGTGCTCCGTCTGTCTCTGTGATGAGCTTGGTTAGGCTTGATACCCATCACCACTTTGGGCTTTCTGCCTCTTTTCTTCATCACAGTCTCACCTGTCATCCTGTCCTCTCGATCTGATGGGTTAACAGGAACCAAATTTTAGTTTGGGAATGCTAAAGAAATGTTTGATAGGTGATAAATTTAAAAAGGAATGCTCACACCAACCCCCTTACCTTTCCTGCCTTGTCTGCAGAGATTCTTGGAAGGTTCATCCTCACTGCTGTGCAGCCCACTGACTGCTGGTGCATCACGCTGGGTGCCAGTTTTCTGCTTCATCTGGGTGGCCTGCCTTGCCAGCCTGGAGCTCAGAGAACTGGGCCGACCTCTGTGCTTACAACGAGCTTTCATCTATGAACAGGAGGCCAAACAACTGGCTTTAACTTATCTCCCTGTGGCTACTGAAACATTCTTGAAAGAAAAATGCAAAAGGAGATGGTTCTTAATTTGCGTGTAAATAACTGCAGGACAACTGACCTGAGCGACGCTTAGACTGCTGAAGCTGTGATTGGACAAAGCATTCCTGTTCCTTTGTTCGAGTATATTCGGCCCAGTCCTGGAAACAATGAAACACAGCAAAGATTGTCATAACATGAGAAATTATACCAAACAGGCATTATATCATAACCATTCCCAACTGAAGCTGATAAAACTGATTATGTTTTCCTCATGGGGGATTGTTGGGTGACCATTTGAGGAAGCAAGAAAACATTTTTTCCTGGACTTCCTGGAAGCAGCGATGATTTGAGACTGATGGTACCAAATGAAGGGATGGTGAGACTGGATCAGAGTATAACCTTCAGCTCTTATGATGCGTTTCTGGGGTCCAGTGGTTTTGTAACTTGAAAAGAACTGCCATGTGCGGAGCACTAGCTACTCTCAAACTGTTAAAGATGTAAAATTATTATATTTTCTGTTCCAGAAAATAAATAAAAGTTTTCACTGGCTTCCTTAAAAAAGCACTCTGCATTTAATTTTGTTGTGTTTAAGCTTTGCTGAAGACAAAGCAGGATTCTAAAATTGGCGCCTATTGAATGAAAAAAGCACCAAGAAGGAAAGTGACCATTAGAACCAGAAAACAGTTCAATGAAAGACTGATGTTCGGAGTAATTAATCATGTTTTCTTTTGTAAAATCCAGGGATGACTGGCTTTGTGTGCATCATCTACCCAGAGACACACAACAATGGGAAGAAAAAGCAGAAAAGTGGGTGTGATGCATTAGAAAGCTTCGGTTCCTGCTAGCTATCTAGACTTTATCACCTAGGGTTTTTTGCTGACTTTTTAAACTCATTCATGCAGACTATATTCCTATTGAGGACCAATGCTGCTATAATTAAAATTCATAAATCATAAATGACTCATAAATATACATTTTTAGTGAAATAATGGCTTGAAATTTGAATTATTGCACCTCAAATTGCAACAAACCAGTGGCGGCCGGCCCATAGGGGGCGCTGGGGCACCGCCCCCCCTGATAAGAAGAGAGAAACGTAAAATATATTTTTAGAAATTAACTCATAAATGTCAGTTTTACTCTCTAGACTGTGTACCTATAAGCAAAACAAAGTATATAAACTACATTTCTCTATCTACTGTCATTAATTTGTGGATTTCCACAGACAGACTCCTACCGTCTCTGTTCTGGGGGCGCTGATCAGACAGCCCCACATTTGCAGAGAATCTGTCAATCATGTATTATTGCTAGGTGAATTTAATGGCCAATCAGCGTCTCGGAACTTTATGGTCTTGGGGCGCTGAAAATACTGCGCTTTAACAGGCTTCTGAACCCAAGCGCAGGTGCAGACAATTAGAGGGAAGATGGCGAATGTAACGACCGAGATGCAGCTTCCACCAAATTCGGTGAGATCCTTATTTATCTACCCGTTTGCCAGAAGAACATCCCTGTTGTAGGATATGAACATTTCATGTCATGGTTATTGTGACTGTGACGAATCCACCTCGTCACTTAAAATAACCTCTCTAACTTTGCGCGCCACACACACATTCCTGTTATACTGTGTTTGTGAGGACCAATCCGCTCGCGCTGAGCCAAGTAGCTCCATGAACTTAAAACACACAAGCTGTTCCTGGTTACCTGCTGCGTATTGAGGGTGCACACTTAATATTTCAGTGGGGTTAGCCGTGTGTGTGTGTGTGGGGGGGGGGGGGTGTGTGTGTGTGTGGGTGTGTGGGGGGTGTGGGTGTGTACATGTTTATGCTACGGGGACTTGTCATCTTCAGTCTGGCTGCGTCTTTGTTGGGTTCAAACCCAGTTTGGTGTAATTGAATAAGTCAATGAATCTGTGTAAAAGAATTAAGTTGTAAAAATTATTTGTTTTTGTACATCAATTGTTTGTGGAGGTAATATATGGACAAAACTGATTAATGAGAAGAAATCAGAAATAAGAGAGCCTGATGTGAGGGGCTTAAACTATTTAATGAGGGCTGTGGGAAGAAAAGCGGCAACTTTTGTTTTCTGTTTCTTTGTTACATTGCTGGTAACTGGAGGGAGGCTGAGGCCCAGAGTATCTTGTATGTTTAGTTTCTTTTGCACCCTGTTTTGAGTTTCTGAGCACAATAAATCACCAACACCGGTAACCCGACTGAGACTGGATTCTTGGAGGCCAAAGAACCCCGTCACAGTGACCCAAATCATCACTGTTAGTTATTATATAGTAAATTAAATCATTACTGTTAAATTGTATGTATTGTCCAATTGTTTATTTGAATTCTTATTCCGGATTAGTTGGAGACATACACTAGGCTATATCAGCCCCACCAAAAATATTTTTCACCAGCCGCCACTGCAACAAACTGATAAAAGCTACCTATGTTTTTAGCCATTTTTAGGACACACCCTACCACAAAGATTAATTACCTCAGCAATGGTTTGTAGAGCACACAGTTTAAAATATTGACTTGGTCTCCAAATCCTTCAGAACTCAATCAAACTTAGCATCCGTTTGACGGAGTGAACAAAGAAATCCAGTCCATTAAGGCTGCATCTTGCAACTTACAGGCTATAACACCTAGGTGCCGGATAGCGGCTCACGTCTTCAGCGGTCAGGTGGACCCGGCCTCAGTGGAACAGGGCTTTTTCTCTCACACTGAAACAATTGTTTCCACAGATGCCCTCTCAGCTCTTTCCTTTCCAGTTTTGCTTTTATCTCATAATGGTTTCTTCATTGTCTTTAAGGCCTCTGACTTCTTATCACTGTCTTATTTCTTTTATGAGGAGAGATGCAGGTTTTGAGAACTGCCAACATAACAGAAATATACAGCAGCTGTGCAAATATAAAGGTGAACCATACATAAAAGAGCAAGAGTTGGTCTAAGAAACGAAGCTGCACTGAAGATAGAGACAGAGCGAAGGGGGAGAGGGGGGAGAGAGAAGGAGAGAGAGATGAAGCAGTCTCGAGGGAGTCTGTCCGTTGACCGGAGCTTCAGGGCTCAATCGATAAACACTAACCTCTATTGAATACTACTCCTCCCTGCCTCTCTCTTGCTTGGTCCTTCCTTCACTGCCAGCATGGACTGTTAGACCACAGGCAGCCAACACACACACACAAACCCACACTCAGTTAGTAGCTGGTGTCTGAGGCAGGTGAATCTTATATTCCCACAGAGGGAAGGATTGGCTCGGAGCATCTCCGCTCCCAGGAGAGGAGAGGAAAAGAGGAGGGGTCTGTAATCTAAAACCCCTTCATTCAACCCCAGAATTCTGAGCTCCGTAGACAAAAATCCTATTGCATAAAAAAGGTTTTAAAAGTAGCCTGTATTAGATTCCTGTTAAATAATAGAACAATTTTAAAGCTGACGCACTGGTTTCACTTTTTAAGGTCATTTGCTGTTTCAGTGGGTTGGTAACGTGAGAAGTCATCAACAAGAAACAGAACTGTTCTACAGCCAAGGGCGAGTCAGGCCTTATTTCATTACAATAAACCCAACAATCAAATATCAGACAAACACTTTTTCATTAAAAAACAAAAGGACCTCATCCTAAATCAAGGACGATGTTTAAGTTTGAAAAACAGTAAAGTCAGCATCTGTATAGAAAACTCTCAAATAGGTTCCCTGCCAAATATTGGGGCAATACACATGTGAAATTACTAGCAGAGTCTACAGCTAGAAAAAACAAATAAGATTAGCTAATGTAAGGACTGTTCATAAGCAGATTCTCAGTTTGCCTGGAATTTAACCTGGCTAAGAGATGCTGTGTGTCCAGAAACTAAAAAGGGAGTGATAAAGTCCTTTATAATATTTCAGAATTAGAGCCCAGGTATAAAAACAAACCAACAAGAACACCTTAATTGATTCCAAAATGTTGTACACTTGGATCTTCAAAAAAATCTCAAAATGTAAGACTGAACTACATTTGAACTTTTAAATGAAAATATTTGAACTGTAAAGTGCCTTGAGATGACGTGTGTTGTGAATTAGTGCTACATAAATAAACTTTACTGAATTGAATTGAAAACTGATTGACGACTGAGCCCATTTTTGGGGCCTTATTTGACCCGGACACCAGCAGGGATAGAAACATGCCGATACATTAGACTCCTAGGCTGTAGTTGCTGCCTTCTTAGCATACTGCCTCGTGTGAATGTTAAGTGTGAAACAACCTTGTTCAAATTTAACTGAACCTTCTAATCTCTCATAGTTTTACAGTTGACTTTCACCCTCAATCAACATGAGAGGATAAAACACCAACAAACGACACATTGCTGGTAAATGACAACTGTAATGTTATGCGGGCACGTAGAAACCAGCTTGGATAATTAAACAAGTTCCCCCAAACAGCTCTGTGTGCGTAGATGCTGGTATATTATGGCAAAAGGTTTTCATTGTCATTTTCATTAGCAGCTTCTAATCATGGTAATCGTGACAAACTGTGAGTTTCTTTAATCATTTTATCAAGGCGACGATGGAGTCTCTAACAGAGGTGGGGAACCCTGAGAAAACACATTTATCTCAGAGAATGCCATGAATGTGGCGGCGTGTTTGATTTGAGTTTGTGTTCATCCTAAAGTTAGCATGTTTGAGGTGCTATAGTGTGTGGTGACGTGTTGCAGCAGATGAAGGAGGTGTTGAGTCATTTATAGCTGGAATAACTGTACATCCAGACCCTGTCCAGCTGTATTAGTATGTGCAAGAGGTTCACACTGAATTAGGACACAATCAATACCAGTGATAAATATGATTAAAAGTGATTAATGATGATTAACGAAGCCCTCAGCTTCATTACCTTCTCTCATTAAAAATCACAGCCATCTTGCAGCTTCCATCACATAACCAACTGTGTGCGTGCGTGTGTTTATGAATGTGTGCGTGCACGCATGAACAGCTCCTTCCAGGGCCCAATCAAGCAAATCATCAGCTATAGAGCATTTGAATCAATTCAGCTGAAGAAGAACTTCTTGAAAATCAACCATGCCTTTCACCAAAAACACAAACAGAAATCAGGATGAATGAGCTGGGCTTGCCAATCACGCTGATTATAGTGACGCAGTATCAGAGCACTGACCTGAGTCTTTTTGAGCTCTCCACAGCAGCTGGGCCAGGGGTGGACTTGCGCTTTCGGGGACGGCCAGGCCCCCTGCGAGCCGCGCTACGAGATGTCTCGTCTTTCCTGCAGGGAGAGAAGGAAGAAAGGAAGAGTAAGATGGAGAGAGAGAAAGGGGGGATGCAACAGAAATCAGGCAGGGGGCTGCAAAGGCTGCAGATCTAAATGCCTCGTGCATGAAAAAGTCTGTAGGTCGGGATAAATCAGGAAATGAAACAGCAACCCTGAATGCTGGAATGGACAATTCAGTAAAGACAAAAAGAACTGTGTGTGTGTGTATAGGTGTGTGTGTGTGTGTATAGGTGTGTGTGTGGGTGTATATGGGTGTGTGTGTGTGTGTGTGTGTGTGTGTGTGTGTGTGTGTGTGTGTGTGTGTGTGTGTGTGTGTGTGTGTGTGTGTGTGTGTGTGTGTGTGTTGTCAGGGTGTGTTATTCTGCTCACTGGTGGTCGTGTTTCCTCTGTAGTTTGGCCAGCTCTCTCTGTTTCTCTTTGTAGCGGCGCTGTAGCTCTGCCAGCTGGACACGCATGGCCAGCTCCTCCCCCCCCATCGTCTCCATGGAGCCCTTCACTGGGCACACCTGACACAGACACACATACACAGACCCAAAGTAGAGGAATTTAAAATGCTGTTCACAAAGCCCAGTCCCACAGACATCGAATGTGTGACCAGTGAGTTTTTTGGCGTGCTTTTTGATGATACAGGTTCTCCAGTGAGAGTCTACAGAATTGACAAAGACTCTTGGAAAAGCGTCCAAACATGTTTAGAAAAACTGAGCAAAAGACTGGTTGCTTCCAATTTAGGCTTTTTTTTATGGCTGCCATGACTGAGAATTTACACAGACATGCAGGTTTTATCTCCTTTCAGTGTTGAGCTTCTGCTCTTATTTTTAGAAATTAGCACTTCTGCCAGGAAAACATGTTTTCATGGAGTCAAGCAAAAAACAAGCTTTAAAACGTAGTATTAGGTGTTCTTTACATTAAGCTGCTTTGATAATAAAAGGTTCACGCTCAGGTTCTTACATCACAATTTTCTTTTCTTTAAATGAAAAGGTTTTGATCGTAAAATGTTCTGCATTCTTCTTTTTTTCTGTTCTGTTTTTTTCTTTTTGAACATTCAAACTGTTATCTTATTAATTTCATTGACTTTAATGTTTGTGACAGTAATATGAACCGTTCTGCTACACTGAAGTTTTGAATATGCAAAACAGGCTGACATTGTAAATGTTTCACTGATAAAAGTGCCTGCGTGATAATGCAGTGCTTCTCTGATGGTAAGTGGGTATATGGCGCCATAGGCGACGTGGAGCGACTACAGCAGCTGATGGGGGAGAAAATTTATGTTTCTGCTCCCCCATCCTTTCAGTGAGAGAAACCTGATCACTTCCAGCAGTCCAACTACCTTTAAAGGTTTATTTCTTCTTGTATTTCATTTAACCTGCCACAACAAAAATCATTATTAGCAATAAATTCTAATCTTTAGATCCACCCTCCTTCTGCTCAAAGTTGGTTCAGTCCAACTCGCCACACAGAAGTTGCTCTGTCTGAACAAAATCTCTTCAGTGGCTCTTTACAGCCAGAGCAGGAAAAGACAGCATGAACCGAATCTCAATCAGCTTTTTAAGTGTCATTATTCTGCTGCATCTTACTCACTCACTATAAATATGACAAAATGGAAGTTTTCACAGCTTTGCTGTAGAGCTCAGACCTGCAATCAGGCAGCCGGTGAAATGCAAGCAAATGCAGGTGTTCTATGTGAACATTTTAAATGGATGTATTGATTAGCATATGGGGAAAAAAAACATAAAATCAAATGTATTACCAAGAATTAAGCCTGGGATCTACAGGGAAACAAAGAATATCTTAGGACCCAATGTCACCAGCCCAACACATTACAATCTTCCAGATTATTGTCCCCTTTATGCACTGTAAGGGTTTCATACTCAGTAAATCATATGGTTTATGTCTGTGTTGCAAATACATGTCTGATGTGTATTTTGCTGAAGAAGGTGTTGGAGAAGGTCTCCTGATTCTTTCTAATTTTGCTTCCCCATTTTAAAACCTAATCAGCTGCCCAAGTAACATTTAGTATCATGTTAAAACCACAACCCTCAGTGTACCTTGAATGGATTTCATTTGATACAGCACAAGTGGAGGAAAAAACAGTAAAAGTTTTAATTTATTACCTATGGATAGTCACGGCGAAAGTCTATCAGCTTAAGCTACTACAATAAAAAAAAAAAGCTACTATGGGAAGTTGGACAGATCACATCTGGGCAGACGAATGGCAGAAAAGAAAAGGATCCCCACAGCATGATGCTGCCACCACTGTGTGAAGGGTGAGTTTAGAATGATGAGCAATATTAATCAGCTCTTTGGCTAAAGCATTCAAATGGTGTCTGAAAAAGCAGCTTCCTCTACATGTTTACTAGGTCACCTTTTTGGCTTCCCAAACAGAGCTGCTGAGGACCTTTAAGTCTTCAGTGTTGCTATTTTTGCTGATGTGCTTTTTATTCAGTAATGGATTACTTTATTCTTCAATATTTTATTAAAAGCATCTACTATCAGCTCAGTTAAATATTCATACTGGAGTTGTGCTGCTCGGGGTGGTTGCATTGTGGTGGATCTACAGTAGATCCCTCCTGCCCACAGTTACAGAGTACCACAATATTTCATTTCTTTCTGGGATCAATACATTTTTTTTAATGTAACTAAATTGAATTGACTTGAATTGAACTGTAAGGCTGCACAGCACTGTTGCCTTGCAGCAAGAAGTCTGGGGTTTGATTCCTGGCCCCTTTCTGCATGGAGTTTGTATGTTGTCTCCATGCAAAAACAGAATTATGAGATTAAAACAAAAATCTTAAAAAACTAGAAGCTTGTTGGTATGTGATTCAGTTTTTCTTATTGGTCTTTTGGATATAATCTTAACAAAACAAATATTAAATGTCACACGACCTGGGTTGTGTTTGAGAATACAACAGAAGAGTGTTTCAATGTTCTGCTCAGCAGCAACCCAAAGTTTAGCATGAATGTTTCAAGCTTGAATATCTCCTGAAGGACAGTGATTGGGTGCCACCTCACCGGCTCGTGCCGAGGTGTCCAGCTGCACTTCCTTCGCAGGTTCAGCTTTTTCCTGATCGGACACTGTTGGTCTGCGTCCACGGTCTCGCCACCTGTCTCCAAGGCTCGGGCCGCTGCCAGCGTTGCCAGACTGTGGAGGTCAAAGGTCAGCGTTTCCTCACCTGCTTGAGAGATGGATGGTTTTAGTTCACCTGAGCGTCGGGGCTTAGCTGTTGCCATGTTGTAAAACATGCTGTGCGTTCAAAGGATTTATTTTCTCAGCGCAATGAAACTGTGCCCTGAAAAGTGGTGATATTTATGATATTAGCTGTGTAGTTTATTTGATGTATACTTATGTTCCTGCCTAATCGTACACAAATGCACACACACACACCTACACAACTAGGGGGGAGTAATGGTGGAGGTGAGGTGGGAGGTAGCTCACTACATCTGTCACTGTCATTAACTCTGTCATTGTCACACAGCAGCAGATAAAACAGAATATTCATGAGGAGGTTCACATACACAAACCTGTGCAAACATAACACACTCATTCTGAACAGACAGTTTTCGCTGAGCTCGGCAGACACGGGCAAACTGCATGAGCATATGTATGTGTGGGAGAAACGGAGAGAAGGAGAGCAGCGGGAGGTTGGAGCAGGAGGAGGAGGACTACAGCGCAGTGAGAAAAAAGCAGGGAGGGGTGAGGACTGAAGGGGAGGAGAAGCAATAAGAGGCAAAGTGTTTATTGAGCTATCTATTTATTCTCCTACATCTTCTCATTATGGACATGGACAGAATCCAATTTTCCCTTGGAGGAGAAAGACGAGGAGAGGGGATGAGGAGACGTGGAGAGGAGAGAAGTTTCACTGGATCAGTGAAGGGCTGCACTGGAGCTGCAAGACCTGCCCGGTGACATCTGACATTATTAAAACCTTTGCACGCAAGTGGGATATGGTGAGGGCAATGCAGGAAACAGAGGATGAAGAAGAAAGCAGAAAGGAGAGGGGCCCTTTGAGTGTGGGGAGAAAAACGAGCGCGCAACAAAGGAGCAGATCATGTGAGGTTGAGCTCAGACAGCGCTACAGAGGGCAAGAAGGAGCTACTGGACCCGGCTGTGTCCTGTACTGCCTCTCAGAGGTCAATGTCATCTAATGTGTCAAGCTTTCAGAGCCAATGGCACACTTCGGTTACCCTTATCGGATGACATCACCGCTGACATCACCACACCTAGTATAGTATTATAGAGATAACCGCAATCAATACATACCTTCCACTCATAGCCTCGCCCCCACCCCAGCATAACACCATTGTGTGTCCCTAACAGGGTTGATGGCTGTAACCCGAAACAGCTTGGGGGATTTGAGATGAAAAGGAGTAGTAATAGAGAACGAAAATGAATGCATTTCACCCGAAATGCCTCCATTAGACTCATGGGCTGTGGATTTAAAACGTTTCCCTTTCCAAACCAAAATACAAAGGAGTTCCCAACAGCTACAGAAGTTTACTGTAGCTCTATAGACTATTGCTGTGCCCCCACCTGTTACTGTGCACTGCTGGTGCACAGTAAATGTTGCAGTGTTAAAGTAACACTCCTGAGTGTTACTTTAACACTGCAGCATTTACCATGTGAGCTTTGCAATTTTGAAATGTTATGATTAAAAAATATATGTTATCCATGATACCATGTCTATAGTTTAAAGAGCTCTAAAGGAGTAGTCTGAGTAAATGCAGCACTGAGGAAAATTTTCATTGTCATTATGCATCAAACAGAACCATGTCTCTGCCCAGTTCCCCACCTTTCACTGCACTGCTGACCAGCTGACTGGGAGAGGATTTACAAATGTTTCTTAGCTTATGAGAAATACAAAACGAAATATTTGTGGTTGAAAAACAAACATATACAGTCCTAGTGTGGAAACTAAAGGAACGCTACCATTACTTATTGAAAGTAGTGTTGCTCTACAACTACAGATGGAGACGGTAAAATCTGCAGGACAGGCTTTTTTTCATCCATTGTAAACTATCATTTTAACACCAGAAGGAACAAGTGTCATTTTTTCTGTTTGGAATAAAAGCCATTAGATTGCGCTATACATTTCTATTTCCAGGTATTTATTTCAATTGCGTGAGACTGTGGGGATTTAAGGTGATCTTGTTGTGAGAGTCTTTAGATTTTACAAAAATGAAATCTCAATAAAAGTAAAAAGCAGAAAACTTTCGAATGAAAATCTGCTAGCAGAATACAGTTACGTATTTTGATTCATTTACCCTGAAACGTCCATCAGTAGATGAAATCTCAAGCAACGGATCGCTTCCATCTCCTGACTGCCCTATCAGCTTTATTAATAACATTTTTAGCAATGAGACCTGAGCTGCTTCTTAAGTAAAAAGCTGGATCCGGTTTTCCACGCCCAGACGGGACTGACTTATTGATTTCACACCTATTACACATGCTGAGCACGTGCACACATGTAAACAAATGCACACTCACACACACCCAGTATCTCTCCTGCACACACATGGGCAGGCAGCAGCTGGGCGACTTAGGATTTTTTTACACTTATTAATTCCGTCAACAGGGCTTGCAGAGGCAGGATTTACACACAAGATTACATTCGTTTTGGAAGAAAAAAAAAGATGCCAGGAAGAGGGAAAAAATAACAAAGAAGGAGGAGAGACAGGAGGAGGCAGTCTGGTTGAGAGACAGAGGGACTCTGATGGAGGAGAGCTGAGATTCATCTGGGATTACTTAACAGCTAAGCCACATACACCGGTGTGTGCACAGCATGAACAGAACGCACACACACATATGCACAGATGCTGGCATAAATAAAAACACTTTCTCTCAGGGGGATGGGAATAAAATAGGAGCACTTACAGGAGAAGTGTTTTAAAGGAAAGGGTCTAATTAGCAAAGCAAGATGCCAGAGCCAGGGGGACACACTGGGCAGAGAGTCTGTGCAAGTGGCTCCTGGTTTGTATCTGAAGCTTAGCTTGTTTGTCCATCGCTGTGTTCCCTCACAACACACACAACTCAACACACACACTTCGTCCCCAGAGGGGAAATGTGGTCCTTAGGAAGCGGCTAAAGAGTTAGAGCAAAAGGAAGGAAACAGGACAGTTAGAGGGAAATTCTGTGGGTTTCTGTTGATATTACAGACATCTGGATTTATCACATTTTGTTTTTTGCAGGTGTGAATGTTTTTTTAGGCAGGGAGCATGTTGGGTAACTTCTTTTTCTAGGTTTCTGGTCTAATCTTCTAGCCTTATATCTTTAGTTTAGAATGAAGTGACATTCTCTGAGTTATTATTAATACCTCTCTTTTATAAATCTGTCATATTAGTAAATTACTTTTTAAAAATTCAGTCACCACCTCTCAGTGATGAAAGAATCTCACACAGCTGGCTGTTTTAGGTGATTTTAGTAACTCAAACTGCAAATGTTAGTATTTAAATTTTAACACAATATTTGTAGGTAGTTGATGTTCATACATTTGTCGTGGTTGTTTTTGTTTTTTTAAGATTAACGACCTCCTTGCTGCTTCACAAAAGTATGTGTTCTGGAGCAACCATCTGTATCAGCTTGCCAAGTTAGAATGCAACTTGTTATTCCACTTCAGATCCGCCCAACAGTAAAGGAAACCTTAACATTTTATAACAGGCTGTCACTTATCCAGCAGCACTGAGGTCAGTAAATTCCTGTGCTTTTCCAGGTCTCATAGTCATTTGAAAATCATACCTGCAGACTTATTAGTCAAGGCAAATCAAAGACAAGTGATTTGTCTGGCTTCAGCACACCAACTTTTTATGTAATGACAAAAAAGCTGTTCAGATGAAAATTGTGACAGATGTAACAGCAGTGTTTGAATTTCCCATCATCACATTCCTATAATCCTTTTAATGAGATGCAAAAGACAATGGCGTGGTATATTTTTTCCTCCAAAATTCTCTCACTGTATGGAAGTCATGTTTTTTTAGATAAGCTAAATTTAGATAAATTCAAGCAGTAGTAAACTGTTAGCTAAACAAAATAGCTAATAGCAAGTTGTTAGACTTCCACAGATTTCTTTAAAGAGCAGAAAAGAAAGACATAATAGATGGAGTAAGATGGCAGTACTTAGCCCTTGCACAATGATCGTACCACGATGTTTGAATAGGAGTCAATGCAAGCCCTGCATTGTGTGGTGCAATAAAAGCATGAAATGAGCAGAAACTGGGGTTTTGGGTAACAATTATTGCAGATAACAACAATATAATATCACCACTGATTGCTGGTTTAAAATAGTTAAATGAAAGAAAAACGAAGTGAAGGAACGAAAAAAAAATCTGTCACTTCCTCTTGCAGCTGTTGCAGTTCTTTCCTTTTAAAGTTTTGCTATAAATCAATGCTAATCAGACAAAGTTTAGGAACATCAATAAAAAGTTATTCTCACCCTTCTCTTTGCTCTCCATGTTTCTTTGTTTGATTTCCAGCTCAGCCAGTTCTCCCAGTATCTCCATTCCATGGTAAGAAGAAGAAGGACATAGGGTCTGAGGAACTGGTGCTGGTGAATACAAGGCATCTCTGGTGGCACACAGAGCCGCTGCAATCAAGAGCTCCAAGCTCCACATGTAAGCCCCTTCCAGCTGTGCTGCTGTGGTTATGGTGGGAGGGGGGAGTAGGTGAGCAGGGGGGGAAGAAACTGTTGATTCTACCAATTCCTCATCTGGACTTTTCCTGCCCTCATCCTCCTCCTCTTTCTTATGCTCTACATTATGAGGTTCATTGTACTGATCATGTTCCCCCTTTTCAGGCTCTGCAGGCACAGTGACACTAAATTCAGCTGGTTCTGATTCTGCTTTCTCATTCTCTCCGATGTCATTCCTTTTGCTATGCTCCCAATCATCTCCTTGGTCTTTTGACATCAGTGGCTCCATAAAGCACCCGTGAGAAACATCCACTGTTAGGTTTTTGTCTGCTGGGTAGACTGGTTCAGGGACTGAAGCTTGGAAAGGGCTTTGTGATGATCTAGAACCAGTGTCCCGGTTTTCAGATATGGAGTATCCTTTTGTTTCAGTCTCAGACTCCACCACTTTGCAGTCTACATTCTCCTCCTCCCTTGTTTCTTCAGTAAGAGGCTGGATGGGACATTGTTTCTGGAGAGGCGTAGTTTCAGACCCTGCTGCCTCTTCATCTACCAAAGGTTGCTCTGCTGCTCGTGCTTCAGGAGGCGAAGCACTGGCCTTATAACCCATGGAAACTGGAGAGAAGCTGTATACAGGTGGCAAGTCTGGTGGGAAGGAAAAAGAAGAGCAAATGTCAAATTTTCACTATGATGGACCGATCAGATTTAGCCTAAAAACCAACGTCTAAATGACGTCTGGGTTTTGTGTGGTAAAACTACATCTACATGTCTAAACTCCAGTGTATGGCACTAAATATCACTGGTTGAGGTCCTAAGTCAAGGTCCACAGGACTTAATGACTTTAGACCTATCGCCCTGACCTTAGCTATTCCCATCACCCTCTGTGACTCCACAATGCAAACTGTGGAGTCTTTCCACTTCCTGGGAACTATCATCTCACAGAACCTAAAGTGGGAGCTGAACATCAACTCCCTGAAGGTAAGCTCAGAAAAGGTTGTACTTCCTGAGGCAGTTGAAAAAAATCAACCTGCCAAGGACAATGATGTGCACTTCTACTCCTCGATCATTGTGTCCATCCTAACCTCCTCTATCACCATGTGGTACGCTGGTACCACTGCCAAGGACAAGGGCAAACTGTGTCATCTGATCTCCAGAGAAGGTGATTGGCTGATATCTTCCATCTCTCCAGGATCTGTTTGCCTCCAGGACTCTGAGGCATAAAGGGGCTGATTGTGAATGATCCCTTGCACCCCAACCACAAACTCTTTCAGTCCCTTCCCTCAGGCAGGAGGCTGCGGTCCAGCAGGACCAAAACCTCACAAGAACAGTTTCTTCCCATCCGGTACCAGCCTTATTATCAAGGGCCAGATACCCCTGTGACACTGCCCCTCTTCCCCCACCATTCAGGACCTAAAAGCTACACCAACATAGCATCTCCAGACCTCCTGTGTTACATTAACGCAGATTGTATATAGTTTATGGCTACATACTACATATCGAATATAATATTGTATGTTTTATATTGTATATAACTATAGATCCTGTACTCTGTATATATATCTAATTTATCTACACTATCAATACCAAGTCCTAGTATGTGCAAACCTACTTGGTAATAAAGCTGATTCTGATTCTGAAATCTTTTGATCCATGAAAAAAAGCAAATAGCTGGAATGGTTTGTTTGCCTTAAGGTGATTGAAATTGGCATTCCATGTCGGTAGACCGGATAAGTTATGTGATTACAGTTGACATAATACATTAACAGCAAGTGTATTGCTGTATATTAAATATACAGAATGCATGGGTGTGTGTAGAGGTCTATGTTGTATATTGATGACACACACTCTCTTCCTATGATTGCTGCCCTGTCACCACTGCTTTCATTTTATTGATGATATCCCTCCACCTCCTGACAACACAGCCAGAAGAATGCGTATCCTTCCACCTGTACTTTTCCAAGGGCCCCTGAAGGATGAGAAGACTTTGTCTGAAGATTTTGCTGACCTTTCTCTTGTCACACACATGCACACCCTGGCAGGTTGCATTCATGCACACAAAGAGCATCCATATGGTTTATCTGACCTCAATGGCTGGCCTGCCTACCAGCTCACTTTAGCGCTCTATTAATATACTCAAGGGCACATGAAGTGAAGGGATCAGCCCTGCTTCAGACAATTTTTGTAAAGCAAAAAGAAAACCCATCTCAGCTATGTCTAGAGAGTGACCAGCTCATGCAGTCTTCTGCAAACACACCTGGCTCTAATGACTGGGGGTAGTCCTGAGGTGGCTGCCCTTCACCCCTGTCACCTCCCCTATCCAGCCCTTTGGAGGGGTGTGAGGGGGCAGGGCTAAGGGCTGGCGATCGTGGCGCTGCCGCTGCTGGGCTTGGAGTGGGAGTCAGGGGATTCTGTGGGTGTGCCAAACGCCTTGATGGTGAGTGGTAGCAGGGCGACTGGCGGCTGCTTGGACACAGTCCAGGAGATGGAGTGGAGGTCTTGGGTGGAGGAAGGGTGTGAGAAAAAGGTTTTGCTGCATGGGAGGAGGCAGAAGATGGAGAGGATGAAGAGGTTGGTGCTCTGGAAGTTGGAGATCCATTGGGAGAGTCATCTATCGTGATTGCACGTTCCTCAAGTTTTCTCTTCAGAAAATGAAACAAAGAGAGAAAGATTGTTAGAGCAAGAAATAATTCACAGAGCTTTGAAGCTTACATGCAAATTCAAGTTATTCTAGACAAACATTTTTTTTATCTCAGTGATTAATGTTTACGACAGACCTGGTAAACCCAAGAAGCTAATATGTTTAAAAAGTAAAAATAAATAAATAATGATTTATTTGATGAAAACAAATCAACAGTAATGAAATAGCATTCATGATCCTAATTCAATCGTGTAAAATGCACAATAGCAAATGCAATATTTAGTAGTCTACAACATTTCTAGTGCAGTGAATTTACATATCATATCATATAGATCATATGCCAATAAGGAATTTAGCCAGTCAAGTGTTCTTTAACTGTCCATAGTGGACTTCAGCTAAATGAAAATACTTTAGGAAACTTTCAAACTTGAATTGAAGGAATATCATGATGATGAAAAATGTGGGTTAAACACAACTTCTGTCATTATCATAGTGATCAGTAATAACATCACATTGCATGTTTTTCTAAAATCATACATCTCTAGTCAGCAACTGCAAGTAATTTGCTGTGTTCGACTCCTGAGTCCTTCATTTTTCTTCTACTCTTATTATTTGAGTACCAATCTTACTTGTCCCAGCGGAGGTCGTTGTGTGTGTTCCATTGCTCGCTGCTGTTGCTGGTGGTGCTGATGCTGCAGAGCGTACATTTCTTGCTGCTGTAGGAAGGAGGTGCGGGAGTATACTGGGTGGGGCTGCAGATGAGGGGGAGGGCCCCTAGCGCCGTACACCGAGGGCCACAGTCCCGGCTGCTCCAGAACATCTAGAGGAAAAAACAAAAGCTCTTTCTTTACAAACTTAGACAAAGTAAAATTTATAATTTAAAGGTAGAAAATATCTTGCAATAAATGTGTTTAAAGGGAATCCCGGATTCCATTACATATCTGATGGTTGAATAGTAGTCCAATTATTGCCTGCTAAGGTTGGAATGGTAGGCAGCTTACTAGGTATTACAGCTATTACACAATGCATTGAGAAGAGAGAACATTTTGTGGCAGAAAACAGCAATCTCCATAGCTATTTTTATTTTATTGTTTTTTCTTTTCAAAATAGAGGCCTTTCCAAAAATCCAGACCGTAATAATTTAGTGCAGGTAAGCATTAAAATCTCTCAAATTCTGCAGCAGTACTACAGCTTTCTGTGTATTCAAAATAGAATTGAGGTTTTAAGAATATTTTACAAATCTGACTAAGTCTAAAGAAAACAGTTAAATAACACAAAGAAAAGTGAGCTGCATGCTTAAATCATTAAGTTTTAAATTTGGGGCTCGTAACATTGTCTTTCTCTTACTTCATTGGATAAAGCCTAATAATTGCAATTAAGTACTACCTTATAAGACAGACTTAAAAAAAAAGATTTTTACATTCATATTAGTTTGATCTCCCTTATTTCAACCCCAGCTCTCTTTACAGATATTATACTTTTTGCAGGAAACCTGATTATTTAGTTGGACAGTAAGCCACAAACACACACATCACTATCCATCCCCTCCTCGACTACCTTGTCGGTGGGAACCTTTGTTCTGTGAGATTAGCCTGAGTGGGCTAATGTTTCCCAGGGGAAGGGTTCAGTGGATGCACTTCCCCTCTCTGCAGGAACTCTCACGGAGCGAGTCAAGGGAGGCGGGAGATAATTAAATTTCACAGCCTGTTTGCAAAGCACCGTGCACACACACACACACACACACACACCATTTACACACACACACACACATTCTTGTCTCTCTCCAGCAATAGCTGAGATATACAACAAAACCTGTAACATATGTTGTTTTAGACATTAACATAACTAATAACACTCACACATACATGCACCCCTCCCCCTCTGCAAAAAAAAAAAAAAAACACACACACACACACACACACCAAACCTAAACACATCTGCACTCCACCAGAAGAGAGATGAAATGCCGGTTCAAATTGTTTGCATAAGGCTAGGCACATGCAGAGGGGCAATGGAATGGCTGCTCCCATTAACAAAGCAATAAAACATGGTCCCACTGACAGAGGGGCTTAGTTGACCATTATATTATGATTAGGCAGTTATACTAAAACTCTTGGGGAGAAGCATCAAAGGTTAAAATGAGGGGGAAGCAGGCGGTAGCTAGGCAGTAAGTCCTGTACGCAACAATCTATATGTTCTGTTGTTGCTGTGAAAGCATAGTTATCATACCCAGAGGATGATGCGGTCCTGGTTCTGTAGGAAGAACCATGATGGGGGAGTTAGGGTCTTGGCTGAGTGAACCCAAGACAGGCTGCAAAGGGTTGGCAAGAGCTGGTGGAAAGCCAGGGCTCATCCCGACGTGGCTCAGACCTGGAATCAGGGTTTAATTCACAGTGAAATTACAGCAAAAAGTTTTCATTTACTAAACGTTTGTATTATTATAGCACTGTTCTGGGTTCTCCCTGTGCATGTCTGGACTCTCTCTGGGTACTCTGGCTTCCTCCCATAGTCCAAAAACATGACTGCGAGGCTGATTGGCATCTGTAAATTGTCCTTAGGTATAAGTGTGTGTGTGCATGGTTGTGTGTCTTTGTGTGTCTCTATGTTGCTCTTTGACAAACTGGTGACTGTCCTGGGTGTACCCTGCCTATTGTCCATAGAATACCGGAGAAAGGCACTGGCCCAACAGCAACCTGACAGAATCAGTGGGAGAAGATGAGGGTTTTATTTATTCTATTCATCACAAAAGGCTTTAGTTGTGTTACTACAAGAAACATTAATGCTTTTTGTTCATATTATTTGTTCTGGACAACAAAAAAACTTGCACATATTTAATATTTCAAAATATTTACAAATAAATGTAAAACTTTGGTATTCTTTTTTTATTTGTCCATCTTTTCTTTTCTTTTTTTTTGCCACAATATGCTGTCACCACAAATGTGATCTGCATTGGAGGTAGACCTGCTCTGTAAAATATGATAAGTTAGGAATATTGTTCTATAACTTAACCCAGCTTTGATTTCCCCCTTTCTGACCTGCCTGTTGTGATTCTTGGTCTTCCTGATGCAAAACTGGAACATATTGAGCTTAACATGCAAACACTGCAAACTAAAATATTTCTTGCTAACCCAGACATCCCAAGTTCCAAAAACTCATTTCAGGGAGATGCTTATCCCCCAACCCCCACGGACCCACACCGTGCCCCATACACACACACTTAAGACAAGCAGCTTTTCATCAACTGTTTATTAACTAACAGTAATTTCTTAAACACTAAACAGAACAGTATTGGTCTTTTATTTTTAATACTTTCAATCTTGTAGCCTTCAACATCGGTTGTGCTTACTGTTTTTCATGGGACTTCAGCATACAGTGCACCTCGCCCCGGTGTCATCATTTCTCACCTAGACAGGGGCCAACGGGGGCCAGTACCCCTGTAGATCATGACCTGGCCCCTGTTATGGCCCCTAAACTAAAGACATGATACTTAAAAGGAATTCTAATGATGATCTGGGCTGGAGAAGACGTTATAACTGATAGGCCCTTTGCATCTATTTCATTCTTTTCTTTACAAATTCTGTTTTACTAATTATTCAAAAACAAAAAGGTGATAGCTTCAGTGGTACTGAGATAGGATCCCAGTTTTCATCTGCTAAAGGTTTTTTTTTTTCCATAACAAATAAAAAAAAATCTCTAATTTTTACAGATGAATTTAACAGTTTTTCTTGAGATCGAATTCAAGTAATTTAAAGTAAACAGTAGTTTTAACATAAGTAAAAAAAAATATGTACAATTCCTACATTTTAAATTTATATTGACCTCATAAGAAATAAAATTCTTATTGAACCTCATTGAAAAGAACTTTCCCTTCATGCAGCTCTCTTAAGATATTGGAATTCCTTGCCCTTTTTTTTTTTTATTTCATGCTTTTCTGGGCCCCCATGAAAACACTCTGGCCCCCTCCTGGACCCCTGGTACATTTGGTACTGTTCCTCACCTTCACTAGTCGTCTATGTATAGACGACTAGTGTTTGTATATTCTGGGGCGGATATACTATGTTTAGTATATTCTGCTGTAAAACTAGTCCTATATTTCCGTTTTTTACTCGAGGAGTGAACCTCTGCCGTTTCACAGGATGCACAGCTTTGAATGGTAACTAGGTGACTGTCAGAGAGTAACCCAGAGAAACTTATCGGACTGATCCAATCAGCTCTCTGATCAACCAGTCGTCTGGAACGCTGGTTGATCAGAGCATCGCTTTGAATAGATACGCTGCACAGGTTTCACAGCAACCTCCTCACCACACCCCAATCTCGCTTGTTGTCTGAGCAATCAAAGTAGTTCTAATCCTCACGCGATGCACGAATTATTGTACTACCTGCCCGCTCTCACTCGCATTGAAAATACACCATCTCACATAGTCTAAAATCCGGGATAATTTATCCGACTCGCAGGCATCCATGACATCTATCTATATCAGGGAGAGACTTGGGATGTCTGTGGTAACTAGAAGGTTTCCTGCATTAGATGATATTAGATGCTAAATATGAATGCATGCCTCGCTTTTTAGATTTTCTAAGAGAACAAAAAAACAACAGAAAACCTGAATAATGAATAATTACCCCTTCCCAATTATAATCTTCATGTTGGTATTTCACATAATATAGAAATAAAATACATTTAACTTTACTGCTGTTATGAGACACTGAAAAATATCAACAAGTATGCAATCCTTAGCAAGTCACAGACATTTCCATCACAATGGTTTGATTAAAAATACAATTTTTGATATGAAATTTAGCAATAAGCCAAAAAAAAAATTATCACTTAATACTCTTCTAAAGCAACTTCAAAGGCTGAGTGTTTAGTTTACTCACTGTATGAAGGCCCTATCCAGAGGGAGGGACTTCCTGTCCTCTGCATCCAGCGGTGATGAGCTGGGTGAACATGTGCCACTGCATCCCCTAATTGATTGGCTCCAAAGAGGTGAGGGGTCAGATCACCGTGGCAGCTACTGGAAGGGTGGATCCGAGCGAACTCCACGCAGTCCTTGTTTTCCCTGCAGTGGCGTTAGGCGAGGTGAACTTTGTCATTATGTTGATTATCCCTCTTATTGTCATCACCATCATCACCATTATTATGATCATTATCTTCATCCGTGTCATCTTCATTACCTCTACTACCATTATAATCATGAAGAAAAGGAAATGTGACGGCAACGGGAGAAGCCATCATCTTGTGCCTGGTCTATGACTACTCATTATATGTTTTCCTCCCTTAATATGACTACATAATAAGAGCCTGATACTTCAGAGACATCCGTATTAGTCCATGTAACATTAATGCACTACATCTCATCTTCAGGAGAAAGAGAAAGATGTGAAGTGAGAGAGTAAGGAGGGACAGAAAAAAACTTCAAAGGGTGAGAGGAGTAAATTGAGTAAAGGGCTGAGAGAAAAGAGAAGCATGGCTTTGGACTGGGAGAAAGAAGGAAGGAAAATAAAAGAAGTGCAGCTGATCAGAGGAGATGAAAACTGAATAGATGGTAGCGCCTCCGTGTATGTGTGCACGGTCGTTTTAGGGACTCTACCTGATGACCAGTTCTCTCTCTCTGTCCATGTGATGAAGACCAATCTGGTCCTCTGTCATCCTCTTCCTCTCCTCAGACTCCCGACCGAGAGGATAAACAGGACGTGAAACCCCTGGATTACCACGACAACAAGACCAACATGCTTAGTCTTCTCCAGAACCTGTGCTATTTGCATACAGGATATCAAACTGCAGTGAAAAATATTCTGCTTTACTTTTTACTTTTGCTTTGTAAATAAATGCAGAAGCTATAAAATCTTTATTGGTTGTTGTGTTTCTAAAAATGAGATTTTAAAGAAAAATAACCACTCTAGTCAGAAGAAGCATACCAGCGTTTACCAAAACAGACCAAAAAATGTATAAAATATCTCTAATGTCTGACCTTTCAGGCTGGGCAGCACCCGGCCCTGTCTATTGTTTCCAGGAGTGATGTCTGGAGAACGATGGGGGGGCCTGGCTACAGCAACAGCAATACCCACCGGGGGCTGGCGGACCTCCCCCTCTCCTGCTTCTCCGGTTTCCTTTGCAGCTCTGTCAGTCTTTTCCCCTTCATTATTGCAGCCCCGCCGCGTAGGGAGAGATTGTTTGGAGGGGTCTTGCAGGGGGGTGCTTTTAGCTCCTCCTCTGCTGGCCCTCTCTGATCTCTCCCCACTCTTGTTAAGGCAACCTAGACCTCCGAATGGGCTTCGCTGTGGCAATAACAAAGGTTGCTGGGAGCTGTAGTTCATTAGGTTCTTCATAGCACCACCCGCACCCTCTGCTGTGTGTGATGTGGAGCTGGGTAGTGGCGGAGGCTGTTTACTAACTGATGCTGAATGGCTACCTTTTCTTTGGTCCTCTTGCTGACTCCCTCTAGCTCCACATGAAGATGCTGCCTGATTACCATCTCTCACCCTTTCCTCTCCGCCTGTGGTCTGACTGTTGTGTTGCTGGTGTCGAATCCTTGCAACCTTTTGTCCTTCCCTTTGCGTTCCAGGCCCTGATCTCCCCTTTCCATCTGCACTTGAGAGAGAAATGTCCCTAAGGGAGGCAGTACCGTGATCAGGACCGATCTTTATTGTTCGATGACTATCTTGTGGGAGAGGATGGCAAATCTCATTTGCAACTTCAGCATCTTTAAAAGAAGAATTTGATTCTACACTGCAGGAATGCAGTTCAGGTTTAGAGCTCCCATTGGAGCCAGGTTTGTTAAAATGATGTATCTGCTGGCTCCAGTCAGGAGGCCTATCAGCTTTGCCGTATCCCATCTGCTGTTGGTGGGGCTGGGTTTTGTCCTTCTTCTGGCAGCTACTAACGCGGCTAGGATGGTGAGAGGGAATTTCATGGGATCCCTCTAGATTGTTATCTTCTTTTCCCATCCTTCCTCCTGCTCCATGGCAGTAAGGGGTGGACATGTCCCCTTGTGAACCAACTGAGTGCACATAAGTTGGGCCACTGACCTTTGCTTCCTTGTTGGTTCCTCCAGGGCTGGATATTGGATCTTTTGAAGGTGTAAGTGTTAGAGGTGGGGCAGGTGGACAGTAAAACTCAGGAAGTGGGTGGGGATTGGAAGGGTGTAACCAGCCTCCAGTTATTGTGGAGCCTAAGTGCAAGCTATGAGGTGGTGGTGGTGGTGCAGGAGGTGGAGGCATGGAGTAGGAGGCTACAGAGTGAGGGGTCAGGGGGGCCAAGAATGCTGTAACTGTAACAGTTTCTCGGCGCATACATTCAGATGAAGAGGTTGGGGATTCAATGATCCTCATTTCTCCATTTATTGTTCCATCTTTTGAGCCTTGCCTGCTGTTTCCAGATGAAGCTTTGCTCACCGCACCACCACTACAGCTGCTAAGTGTTCCACCTTTTGCTTCAAAGGCTCCCTCTGATCCAATCCCATTGGACAGTTTACAGGCACTCATAGGTTTTGCTCCCTGACTGCCCAAATCACTGTCTTTATACTCATTATGTCGCTCTAGAGAGTTTCTGTGGTCTTGCTCCAGGCTCTGGATTCCAAGATGTGGAAGAAGGCCATGGTGTGGGTGGGTGTAAGCCTGGTGAAGGCTAGATGGAGTGGTGGCAGAGTTCATCTGATGAGAATGCTGGTGGTTGTGAAGCTGCTGCTTTTCTTTGCTATCCTGGTGTCGCTCTTTGCTGCTTGAGCGTTCTCTCTCTTTTGATAAAACTCCCTTTTCACCTACATCTTTCATGCTCTTTACAACTCCTCCCCCATTGTCCATCTCGCGGCTACAAGCTCCAAGTGGGTGGCCTAGTGCTGTCCGGGACAGTGGAGGAAGGCTGTGATTGGTGGAGATCAGAGGAGACTGTGGGGTAAGGCCTCTCAGGTAGAAGGGATCTGAAAGAAGAAGATGGGTGGGCCCAAATTATAATTTCTCGAAACGTTACGGTATTAATGAGTTTATATCCTGTTTCACAAAACACCCAAGACTTACATGCCTTTTTTATTGTATCTGTGTTGTTTTTTTTTTGATCACCAAGGTGATCAAATTTTACCACAGGTGGCTAGTCAAGCAAGATAGCTAACATAATATCACTTGTTTTTTCCAAAGGTAAAGATGCAATGTTGCACAGGAGTGTGTCTGATAATGCAGACAGTCTGTGCAGCCAGCTGCCCAGATGATTTAAGCCAAAAACTCTCAAAGACTATCTATGTGTGATGTACTAATAATAATGATAATTGAACTTTATTGATCTCACACAGGATAAATTTCCTCTGCATTTAACCCTTCCCCTTAGGGAGCAGTGGGCTGCCATTGTGGGGCGCCCGGGGAGCAGTGTGGGGTTAATGGTTTTGCTCAGAGGCCCAGAGTGGCCGTGTGTAGGAGTGCATTATTGACAAACAAAAATTTCTCCAACTAACACACAATATAGGGCAGGTCACTGTACTTTAGAAAAGCATAGTTCACCTAGAATGGATGACACAGAATATTGCCACAAAATGGAAAACATGTTACCTTTGATTCATGATCTTAATCCTTAGGAAGTATTTCTTACAAATACTCTCTATTAAACCTGCTTAGCCCGCTTTGGTTCTACTAATCCAATGTGATTTTTAAAATCAGCATGTGGGACCAGGATGCTAAGAAAACGGTTCATCTTTATAGGTTTGTGATAGAGATTTCTATTCAAAGAGGCTATGGAATGCAAATATACTCTTCACTGGGTTTAGGTTAGGTGGCATTATGCAAAAAAGAGTGGTTTATAAAAAAAATTTTGGGCACAAACCTTTTTGTGTTTCATAGTAGCGGGGTTGTCCATAGATACTGCCGCTATGGTGATCCAGGGCACTCATGGAAAGAAAAGGAGAAGCAAGACTTCCTGAATAGCCAGGGTACCCTGTCAGTAGAGAGGGGTTAGAGAGAACTGATTACTCTGTACATATTCAGCAGCACTCTGTACAAATGGTTTGTCTGTGCAATCTATCATCAAAGACCCTCATTTTTGAAAAAAAAAGATCCAGCTATTTCTTCTTTCTTCATAAATGCACACTAGCACAAACATGCTAGATGCGTTGACATTATTTACAGTGGACAGAAGGGTGACGGAAGCCACAGCCATTTACTAATGCCAAGTGTTTTTGCACATTTTCAATGGATAGAATTTGCTCCCCTAAAAAATACAATTCCTCTCAAAACCAAAGACAAACATGACGAAGAATCTCTCCCACTCCTCACCCTGAAATACACCCACTGGGTCCTCCAAGGGGGTCACTGAGAGGTGAATGGTCGTTACACTCTGTTTCATGTCTTTAGGAGCATTGACCTGCTTGGTGGGAATGGGGAGATTTTGGCAGAATGTGCACCTTCGGAATAGGATGTCAGACTGTGTGGTTGTGCAAGTGGGTGAGTCTGTTTTTTCCAGAGGTTGGTTTCATGTCCCACAGAGTGTCCTTGCTGGCCTGTTAATTGGCAGCAGTTAAAAGTTTAACGGTGGTGGCCAAAGTAAACAACACTCCATAAAAAACTCATCCTACGCATTCCACAGTCACACAGCAAATCCAGCAACACCCCCACAGTGCTTTGTGTGAGTGTATGTGTGTGATTACTCTGACTGGTTAACAACCAGTGAATCTAAATGGTGACAATTAGCCAAAATGTTCTATCAGCCATCTAAGGCCAATCCCCTAGGTAATGATGAGTGATAAAACAGGGGAGGGAGAGAGATGGGACTGGAAGAGAGGGAAAAGGGATGACATGGAGTACCACTGGAGCTGAAAGTGGAGAGAAAATAAAAGGAAGATAAAAAAAAAAGGGAGGGAGTTCACTGGTTGGTTGAATTGGGAGAGGGTTGGGGGGAAAAAAGACACCAGAGAGGAGAGAGGCTGTCAATATGAAAAGTCATGAGTGTGTTTCGGATGTGATGCTAGCGAGAGACAGAAATGAGTGGCTGGGGTGGGGGGGGGCTAGGTCTGCTTGTAGGGGAGATATTAGAAGATGAAGGGACCAGTGAAAGGAGAGTGGAGACGGTGGAGATGAGACGACACAAAAAGGCTGGTAAAGAGATGAGGAAACGCACATGAGTGCTGAGACATAAAACAAGGGCAGCTGCAGAAGAACCAGCAAGTGACTATAGGTGTGTGTGCTGGGCAGACTGGAGTGTTGTCTACGTATGTGTGTGTGTTTTGGGCAGGTTCCTTCGCTCTATGCTGGCTATGCTCCGCTCCCTGGACTGTGGCCAGCTGGCTAGCTGCCTGCTGGAGCTCCCTGGCTTGAATTCTTAAAAACAGTCATTTGTGGTGTGCGTGCAAAAGTGCATGAAAGTGTGTGTGTGTGTGTGTGTTAAAACATCAAAGCTGCGCCACAGAGACGTAAAATCTGTCTTATAGGCACACATACCCTCTCCCTCCTCACACACACACACAAAAACAAACACCCGTGCTCTCTGTTCACTGCTGCTCCCTGTAGCCTACAGCCGGAAGTCTTTAATATGAATCGTATCATGAATTCAGGTAAGGATGGTCACTCCAGGCTATATCTCATTTTTATGTCTTTGTCACTGAAAATTATGCATATTTCTGTAGGCTGGTTATGTGTCAATAACAGAAGGCAAGAAATTAAAAAACTTAAAATAAGGGAAGTAAACAGTAGTTTAACAAATCCCTCTTATGCTTTCTGTATACTCCTGGTTTAAACGTAATCCCAAATAGTTTATGGCCACTTAAAATACCAAATGTGCCAACGGTTGCCTCAACCAGCACCATCCGTGATGCTACTGGGGAGGAAAACACATTTTGACTTGTCATGGCAGGCAAAGCACAGGTGTAATAAATAACATTACCACACGGTCGGTTTCATTCCAGCGTGTCGGCACGCATGGCACCAGGAGGCTGAAACTGATTCACCTGAATGGAATGCACTCATTAGTTTTGTTATTGATTGCTCCAACTCTTTCCTACTATGATGTGATACGTCGAAGTGAACCAGTGGGATGGCTAGCATAAAAAGAAAAGTCTCTGTGAAGGAAGTCAATGTTTTAATTTGCAGAGGATTTCAGAGACACTTTTGACTTGCATCACTCACAAAACGATTAAACTGAGTCAGATTTGAGTCAGTTTACAGTGGGTTGAGAAATATAGCCTGTGGTGTAAACTGTCTCTTTTGTTAAACTTTTTTTAGATGCTATCACTTTGGTCCCATCTCGCTCGTACACACACGCTCATGAGTCTACACAAACTTGCACAGATATACCTGAAAGGGACAGATAACTCCGTCAAGCTCAGAATTTTACCACAAACGGTTAACAGCCGAAAGAGGACATGATGCATGAGGATCCGCATGCTGTTTTACTGCATATGTTTGTGTCAGATCAGGAAGGGGGCCGTTGGAGGTCGGTTAGCCCAGAGGGGGCCCCAAGGGTGGGACTGCGGTCAGATGGGGGAGGGAGGTGAGGACAAGGGTGAGTGGTGAAAACGGGGGTGAGTTTCGAAGCCTACCTGGGTGTAAAGGGAGGAACTCAGGGCTACCAAAATAGAGCTGGGTGAGGGGGGTTGTAAAAATGTGTTAGTGATGCATAGTAATGCTGCTTTATTAATCAGCAATACTCAAACCCTGCTCAAGTGATGTTCAAGTAACATGTGATTACTAAGCATCCAATAAGCAGTAATAAGCATCAGAATCTTCTCACACAAACACTGAACCGTTTGTGTTAGAAGATTTGGATGCTTATTTATGGTAGAAGGAGGGAGAAGAGGTAAGCGAGGGGGGCGTTTGTTGTGCTTGAGCTCTTAACTAGAAAACGACCACAGACACACAAGCAAAGTCGTACGTGGGTGTTTCTAAAAGTAGCATCATCTGAGGCATTGCTGCTGCACGTGTTTGCTTTGCTCTGTTTTGGTTAAACCACTTAATGGCTTCATCTGGGTCTAATCCCAAACCGAGACCCCGGATTAGACAGAGAACCAAGCTGCTTCCTCTGTGTGTACCGTATGTGTCTCTCACCTTCATGTGAATGAGGGAACCAGATAGGGGAAGTGCTTGAATGGGTTCCAGCCCTGTAGGATGGGGAGGAAGGGGAGGCAGCAGGTCCAGAGGGGTGAGGGGGATGGGAGGGTGGGGTCCCCAGACTCCTGGCCAGAAAGGAGCCCATAAAGGAAGCACCTGAGAGTCAGAGATAGAGAGTTAGATAGATGATCATGGATCACATTTGTTTTTTCAGGTCTAATGAGGGTAAAAACAATAAACCTGTGATAAAGATGAAGAGAAGTTAAAAATATCTCTGTTAAGCAAAATCAAAGGTTCAAAGGATAAAAAGATGAAAGTACAAATGAGATACAGTTGCATACAGGTATGTCACAATCATAGATTACATAGTCCATTGTTAGTGTGAGGAGACTGACCAGCATGAAGTAGTAAAGAAATGCAAAAAAGAAAGTATATTTTTGTTATTATTATTATTATTTACAAAATAGCTAAAAACTGAGGTGTGCATTTCACCCCCATTTGGTTCTGATACCATTAAATAAAGTACAGCTCAATCAACAGAAATTAGTTTAATACAACTCAGTTCAATTCATTTAAATAGTGCCTGTGATAACAGCTGGTTTATCTCATATTTGTATTTTTTTGTTTTATTTAGAACGGCATCAAAATTATAGTTTCTTTCCCCATCTGATCCAAACTGGGCGTCTTTCTGCTTTATCTAACACTCAAAGGAAGAATGTGTCACAGTTGACATGTTTCCACCTGAGAAGCTCGCCGTTATTTTGCTGGATCTTTTTAGCATAAGCATCAAATGACAAACCCTGACAGCTGAATGAGGAAGGCCACTTTGTGGGCATTCTAGCTGTAATTCTTAAAGTGTCTGCAGTGTTTCATGGTTACAGAAGAAATATTAATTGAAAGCTTAGAGAACTTAGCTTACAAAGCAGGGGGTTACTATTCAGTCTAACTGAGAGTGTTCTTTTTGTATATTCAGAACATCCTGAGACCTGTGAAATCCAACCAGATAGTCACTGCTTGCTGCATATTAATAGTTGATTTTGTGAATTTTTTTTCAAGTAGTTGTACATGAAAGCATATTTGTTTTGCTATCTGATTGGTCATACTATTAATTGTTTAAACATTCACACCTCTGGATCACTCAGATTTTAGCTCCTGGATTGCAGCACTAAAGTTGCGTTAATGAATAAATGACTGTTTACCCTTTGAGCACACTTGCAGTCATATATTAATCTCCTTGTAGACTTTTCAACAGGAAGTTGGGCACATTGTTAACATGTGGCACCCCTTTTTGTTTTACTCATGTTCCCGTTCCATTAATAAAATGTAGTATAGCATCCGCTGAAACATACTTTTTATTTACTAAACATCTGCGCAAATTTCTAACCTCCAACGGTTGCCAGTTTCTCTGCTCCTTTAAGTTGTCAAACATTTCAGTTTAACCTCTCTACTTCTAAAACTGGGCAACAAAACCATCTTCTCAAAAAGTTCTAATGCAGCATATCTGAAGATATATGCTGATTCTATCCAAACTGAAGAGTGTAAAACTGTAGCTTTCAGATGCAGGTCTACCTAACGTCCTATCAATACTCACCACAGACAAAACAGTTAAAAGACATCTGCTGCAAAGTGAAAGGATCACTAGAATAAATTGTTCACAGTTTCTCTTTGAGATTAAATATATTTGATTCATAAGAAATTGCTCGCATTCCAACCATGTTATTTTGATGTAAAGTCGAAACAAAGTAGAATTGCCTTAACTCAAGAACGGAGACAAGAAGTTTTTATATTCTGTGTAATTTTACAAGCAAGTAGCTGGTTGGAAAAGAAGGAGGCTAATATCAGGAAACGTGAGGAGGCACATACCGCTACAACCAGCAAACCTTCCATTTCTTTCATACTTTTCTCCCTTAAATGCTGAAGCTATTAATGCTGCTGATTCATCTGCATCACAATAAACGTAGGGATGCAATTAATGATTAAATTGCAAATTGATTAATCTGTCAATTATTTTTCAATTAATCGATTAATAATTGGAAAGCAAAGATTCCTTAAAGAAGTTTTTTTTTAAAGAAATTAGACTAGGTGAAACTAAAGCTTTTCCACTTGAGTAATTGTGGATAGAGCATATTAACAGACAAAAATTATTTTTATCTAACATGCAAAATGTTTATATGTTTTTTACACTTTTAATTTAGTTTAATGTAATTAAATCCACATGATTGTTTCAGTCCTAATTAAATGTGTCATTTTTTTTTTATCTGGGGACATGTTAGCTTAAATTAGTGGTTTTAAAATAGGTTGGGAGACATCATGAGGATATTAGCTGTCCTTTTGGTTTCCTGAGTTTTGGTCTTATAGTCATCTTTCTGAGCATTAACAACAATCAGACTCTGATTTTATGTACTTTTATCACTCTGGAGCTGTCACCATCACCATTGGGTCAGTCTAACTGGTTAATCAAGAGCTTTTTCTTTATTTATTCTTTTTTTTGTGGCTGAGGTCTTTCGTAACGCCAACAAATGGAAGTTGGGTGTATATTACTGCAGAAAAGGCACAGATTCATCTACCTTTTTCTTCCTAGTGTCTTATCCAGATATTCATTGTTTTCATTTGAGGCAGAAACTGACTCCTGACCTGGAAGAGGAAACTGCCATCTTTCTGGTTGACAACTGTGTCCTCAGACTTAGAGGAGCTGACTGGCATCTTAGGTGCTTCATACTTGGATGTAAAACTCTGTTCAACTTAACGTAATTTGAGTAGCACTTGCGTACATTTTATAGAAGTAGACCCTGTATGCAGCACATGCGGTGTTGCAAAGTTGCAATGCCCATGCTTGACCCACATACACCAACTGATGATATAGATATTTAGAGTGTTTATTTACTTCAAACCTTTAGTTCACCATAAGACTTTAACAGAAATGCTTAATTATGTGAGTAGGGAGAGAAAGTTACATGGAGTTACATTCAATAAGAAGAAACAAAGAGAGAAAAGGATTTCACTGCTAAAGAACATTGGGCGCTGAACAGAACAACTACAGAGGAAATTTAGAAAGTCCTGCAAAAATTGAGGAAAGGTTGGATGGTATTCATGAAAGGATGACATGTTTATTCAAAGCCAACAAAGTTAGATGGGCTAGTTTGTTCCTTCACTGATCTGAATGCTCTCAGTGAGAAAGAAGAAGAGAACAGTAGCCGGTAAGAAGCAAACAAATCCACAGGGAATCAGATAATTAGCCACTGGATGGAGAGAGGCAGAGGGTGGGGGTGGGGGTGGCTAGGTCGTCACCCATAAACGCTGCATCGCATCAGAGTCAATTACCACAACCACAACAGTCCACAGTGGAGTCACTCACATACGAGCGTACAGTACCCTCACCTCAGCTACATCGTGACGCCCTGACAACCACAACCACAAGGGCCTTCAGCTGTCTGCCAGTGTTTCTATCCAACAAACACGCTCATAGTGCAAGCATGTGCACAAAGCCACACACGTGAGAGGGCATCGAATAAATCAGAGCTGGGATGAAGCAGCAGCGCTGTATTAGCAGACAAATCATGCAGTGTGTGTACCTATTTAAACAGCTGCTACTAGTGCACTGAAACACACACATTTTAAACGTTGAACCCCCCCCCCCCCCCCCCCCCCCCCCCCCGCCGTCTCTTGTTCTTGATATTTTCCCTCTCTGTAGTCATAATAAGTCAAAGAGGAAAAGAAAATGATCCATCAAGACATTTATTTTCTCCCTATCACTCAGACAGGATATTTTTTCTTCTTTTTTTGCCCCCTGCTTGCCCATTGTACACCAGCAGACTTGTAGGCAGTCAAAATAAAAAGCAGACCATAGCTGCTTTCACCAGAACCCCCCCATCCTCAGGAACCCAGTCAAAGACGGTCCACGCTCCTTGCATGATACATATTCTACAAAATGAGAACAAAAATAGGTGGACTGGAAAAAACTGGGTGAAAACAGAACTGTTTTACATTTCCCATATTGTTTCCTCTTCTACTTATTTCCCTTCATTCCCTCTTTTTCCTGTCACCGGACTCCATACCCACCTTGTCTGTTTTCTTTTGGCGTGTTGATCCAGAAAACTCTTTTCCTACTCTCTCTAGGTCGCTGATATGGAAAATGACTCAAGACACTCTCTACTAACTTAAACCTAATTTCTCTGCCTGCTTTGGTTCAACCCCTCCCACCCATTTATCTCTTCCTGGACCCCGTTTCCACCTTTGTTTTATCCGATCCATACGTCCTCTTACTCCCTTTCCATCAGTCACCACTGCTTCCTTTTGAAGTTTCCCGTTCCTCTATGCAGAAACACTGAACTGCTCAAATAAATTAGCAGCAGCTGATCTAAAAACACACAATAACTGGTTTCAATTATTTGGAGATCATTTTCGAAAATTGTGCAGAAAAACACACATTTTTCTTTGTGCATATGTTATTTATTATAAATACAAGCTGCTGACGGAGGATGCAGCTACATTCAGTCTCCGCAGTGGTAATTAAAAAGGAAAATGTGTTTGCATGCTTCAAGTTTTCCCAGCTGGCATCATAACTTGGAAAATTGTGTCAACACGAAAGTAGCGACTCATCCAGTGTTGACAATCAGAAGTAATAAAAAGCAGAATTATGAGTTTTTATTTACACTTGTGCATTCGTCTGCGCTTACAGTGATCAGGATCTGCTTCAGTTTATTATAAGTAGCTGATTTTCTAGGAATAGATCAATTTAAAAACACTTAACTTCTGTCTTCTGAGAAAAACCTTCTTTGGACATATGCTTTGCCTTTATCTATTCTGTTTCTTTGGATGTTTGTTTTTTATTTAACAGCAAAGTCTTGTTGAGATTAAAAACCTCTTTTTTAAGGGAGTCCTGGAAAAGAGGCTTAGAAATGTAGAATCTCAATAAAATATATGAACATCTTTAGTTTGACGGCTTAGTAAATAAATAGAGACTTTTCTACTCTTTATTACAGATCAACTAACTAAATATAACTATTTCCACTGGAAGTATCCCTCACTCAGTATTTCACTGTTTAACTGTGTCTCCTTTCTAGAGCCAGATATTGATAAAGACATTTCTTTACATAAGTATATGATCTCTCTTTTCCTTGCTCTACTATTTTTTAATCAGTAAGTATACTCCGCTC